GATTTTTGGTAACCTATGGTTCCCGTGTACATACAATCCGACTAATCTTTGAAACGAGTCCTTTCACGAGCTTGCATGGACTTGCATGGAGTCGTAAGTTTATGTTCCACTGTGCTCAGTGACGTGCTTAGGAAGTGACCGGCGGAGGCAACACAGTACTGATTGCATATCAAAGTATATATAGAGTCCAGGGAAGTTTTAGCACCCTGTCGAATTTTCGCTTATTGAAGATCATCTAAATACCATATCCGCTGGTTAAATTAAACATACCCGCGAAGCATTAACAAGCCCTTAACGCTTCTTAAACATTCATTGCCTTTTTCCCCATAGAAGTCTTTAATATTAATCACCACACATATTTTCAATATCTGAGATACTCCATCCTAAGTATTTTTGTCAATTTTATTTTTAGTCTGATAATGAACTATGGTCATGTTCTCCCAAAAGAAACAAGGAATTATCAAATCTATCGAGCAATATTTTATTATTCATTTAATAGAGTTTCGTCAAGATTCTTTCGTTGAAGAATTCCCAAAAGATACTTGAATACGAAAACAAAAACATAGAAAAAATATGTTTACCCTGAAAGCCTATCGGCATGGATATCATCATATCGAGCCTCAGTCAGATGGCGTCTGTAAACTGGCCATAATATCTTTTTGTCCCCTCCTTTATGTGACACTTCGCACGCGTGCGCTGATCATCTGCAGTTTTAACCGCACCGAAAAAGAAGCCATATTTTTATGTTTTTTCGTCATTCGACGTGTTTTACTGTAACTTCTAGAGCGTGAACCGTGTATCACATTTACCGTGAAGCGTAAAATGAAACCGTAAATGATGATTTTGAGCGCGATCAACAGCGTGAAGCGTGAAAATTATAATAAATGGATCGACTAGCATGAAAAATTTTGGACACTTGGCATGTGATGCGTTTGAAAGAATGTGAAAGAGCCAATCAGAGGTCATATGGAGCACCACACTTTTGATGATGCATAACGGTGATAACTGACGAGAAAAAGCAATTTGAAACAGTTTCTTCATGCATAATATATATACACACCGATCTGGTCACACGCGCTTGTGATTCTTCTGATAAACTGTACTAAGCTACATGCCTCCTGATGAAAACAGATCTGAGGTCGAAAGAAATACCCTGAAACGAAACTTAAAACCATCTAACGTAACGTTTGATTGTCTGATGTTTACAGACTTGACTTGATGTCATTTCACTGAACTAGCATCGAAGTGGAGTCGATTAAGAATATTTGGAGTAGTCCTACCCGAGCAAAGCGTTAAACAGCCTGGCGTCGAATTGTATTTGCTTGGGAAGAAAACGATTGCGTTTCACTGTGATGGTTTCGCGCTACAGCAAGAAAGGAGAGGGACAAATAGCATGGTGCCTCTGTACCCTACCCATCGTTATATTTCCATTTATTGTTATATTTTGGTTGCATCGTAGTTTCTCAGCCGAAGATTTTCTTCAGCAATCCAGATTTCAAAGCATCACACAGGCACCAACTATAAGAAAAGATTTGAGACTTGCCAAAGAGCAAAATGAGTTTTTCGAAACGTTACTAAATATGACAAGGTCTCCGACTCAGCGATCTACGGTACCTCCTGTCGTTCTCGCGATTCACTCGGGAAAGCGAGTTACGCCGGTCGACGCCGACCCGATCGAGTTGCAACGTGAAGAAGAGTCTTCAGATAACGATGGAAAAGTCGTGATTGTAACACCTGGCCCGGACACAGTATTAGCAAGGAAAATAGTCTTCACCCCTAGAGAGGAAGAAATCACAGGTCATGAACTTCTGGCGGCATTTTTTGAGCAAGTTGTTCCAGATAACATGGCAGGGAAACTAAATGTTCATACATGGCAAGGTATTTGCGGCCCGTACGTTGAACAGCTTCGCCATTCTCCGTTATTTCCTCGCTTTCCTTTCGTTAGAAAATTTCTGGATCAATTTAAATCGCATCAGGAGGGCAGCGATTTTGGAGAGAGGATCTTCGGGTTCATTCACCCGGAAAAGCAAGGCTTTCACGAGTTCGCGATCACTTCCGACGATACATCGGAACTGTGGCTTAGCACCGACAGCAATCCGAAAAAGTCCCGACTTATCGCCGCAGTCTATTCGGCAAATGGCGCAGCGTGGACAACACCGTATAATTATAAAAAGTTTCCTATCCAAGTTTCGAGGAAGATTGCTCTGAAGTCTTCCAGAAAATATTACATTGAAGCGCTCCATAAACAATCAAAGGGTCGTAGCCATGTTCAGATATTCTGGAAAGAACCAGATGCAAAAACGTTTAAAATTATTCAAGGCAAGTACTTATCTCTGTATGTGGACGATCGAGATATGCACGAAGAAGGGATTGTCGAAGAAATTGATTTTCACAGCTATGCGCCACCGGGAATTCCTAGCCATTCCAAAAGAAAATTAGATCCCAGCGTTGAGAAATTCCTATATAGATGCTAAAATCATCCTTGGAATAGAATAATGCATGGTTTGCAACGTAAATGAACGTAACCCTCATCCATCAGAACATTCGAGGCACAGTAGCGCCTTGATATAAGAATTTAGATGATCTGCTAGACCATAAGTAAATTTAGAGAGGTTAGTTGTTTGATCTGCAAGGGGGCAACTGTACAGATAACGGTATCATTGATAATTCTGTCTTTTTTTTTTTTTTTTACATGGAGCGGATATATAGCACCCATTTTCAATGGGTCTGTGTAATAATAGACAAAAGATATCGTTAAAATAGAGTGAGAATATTGATGACATACTTACCTCTGGCTCTAGTGTCACATTTTTTGGGTTGGCTTTACCATGTTTCCACGTACTACTCCATCTTTCACTAAAACGGTGCACAGCAACATGAATAAAGTTTGATAATACTTCTGATAAAATGATGCGAGCTTACTCCTCCTGGAAGTGTCAAGTGGCTCTTAAATAAAGTGAGTAAATGAGATAAATCAGGATTTTCTTTTATTTGCCATGACAACTTTGAAATATCAATAAAAATGAAAATCTCGTCTATCGGCAGTCCTACGCCTGTGGACCATGTATCGCGCTCTACGATAAGCTTAAAATCAGAGCAAGAGCAAAGCACGGCATTACGCTCCTTTAATAGTGACAATGCCTACAGAATGAATTAGAAGAACACAAAAGGTTACTAAATGATTGTAACTACCTGTTTTTTACTGAAAGCTCGAGGGGGTGAAAACGATGAAGGCCAACCGACATCCAGAGAGAGTACATTCTGTCATATGCTGCTAAAATTTCATGAGAAGAGCAAATGTGCAGTGCTAAACTTCCTACGAACTTGTGCTCGAAGAGACGACGGAAACAATCATATCAAAAATACGTTCAAGCGTTCAAGCTACAAGACTGCGTGAGAGGATGAATCCTCTCTTGTTCAAGCTCATATCTGAAAAAAAAAAAAAAAACCCATTAAAAACTCGTCGAGGAGAATGTCAATGACATGATAATAACGTAATTTTTCGTCGATGAATACAATAAGGCAGGATTTATAGACTTACCAGCCGGCAACTTAGCTTGGCCATGGATAAAGATTTTCAATGATGTCCCCTTGCAAACTTGAACACAACGCGCCTACAGGTTTCCAAAGGAGATGTTCAGACGGCAAATCCTCATTTAATAATAATTAATTCAACATTCATAAGATTATGATGAAATTAGTTTTGGTCAGGTAAATAGGCCGGACGTCCACATTCAAAATTTGCTGAGTCGTTTATAAAGCTCAGGATTTGTCTGACTCTGTACAATCAGACAAATTGTCAGACTCTGTAGAGTCAGAAAAGTTGCTGAATTGATAAATTTTGCCATAGTCAATGCAGCAGATTACATCGATACATTTCCTAGCCTTTATACAGACAAGTTTAAATCAGCCTCCAAGAACGATTTAAACAGCCAAGCGGTTTCTTCGATGCGGCGGCAATATTTCTAGTTGCCAGTTTTAGACCGTCACTCAGAAAGAAGGCTTGGCTTTCGACGAAAACAAATGCGAAGACTAAATTAAATGAACGGTGCTTTCCGTAGCGTTTGGAATGGCGTTTGTATCGTTTTCATTCACCTAAAGAAGGCCGTTGGCGTTTCAACAAGTGTGAAGCAACACGACGGCAAGCGTCGGGCATGCGCAAATCGATAGATTTTGGCCGGCCGCGCGCCAATTTCCCGCGCTAAACATTGAAGGAAAACATCAGAAACAACCCCTGTCTCCCCTTCCCTGTCACGGAAATTGCACAAAGAAAGATTGTAACGTTCACAGAAATCTGTAAAAGGAAACAGAAGTAAGTAAAATAAACTCGAATATAAAGCTTAGTTATTTACGGGTATCTTGTTGATCTACCATTTTTGTTTGAGCTTTATCAAATAAATTATGTTATAAAAAACTGTGACTTTAAATTTCTAGCTTCTCTGTATGCTCTTCAGTAAGTCTTGTAAGGAAACTCGGAATTAAAAGCCACTTACATACCAATGCCGGTGCTAGTTATATGCCAATGTGCACTCTGTAGTTCAATTTTTTAAATAACTTCTGACTGATCATTTCATATGTTTTGAGCCATTTGATTCTCAGTAGCAGAAATGATCAAACCTTGATTTCAACTGAACTTTAGTGGCCAATTTGCATACGTACAAATAGGCTAGGAACACCTGCTTGAGACAGGGAAGAAAGACCTTGGCTGAGAAGAGCTGGAAACAAATGGTAAGTGAGGACTGACGGGCTCTGGGAACGAATGTACTCAACTTAGGCTGCACGTCTCGGTAGTTTCTATCCGTTTTTAAGACAGATTCAATGGTTTAGACTTTCCAAAGACCTCGCTAAGACAAATGAAACATTTTGGTAATAGCTGTGTTCTAAATTTCGAATGAAAAAAGTAATATTGACGAAAAGTTTGAATGAATTTTCCCGCGCGCAATAGACTCGGCAATTGACGCATAGGCAAACGCGGGTATCCGCTGAGTGGACGACCATGCTTTGTAACAGTGAATCGGCGAAATAAGCCCTACAATTGGCCTTTTTGAGATTGACAAAAGTTTTCCTCTATAGCAGTGACATGCTTGGTTAAAAAAGAGGAAATACAGCTTTATGTGATCGTGCATAGATCACAACTTAAAGTTATGTTGGGATTCAAGCCACAGAAACAAATCGTTTACAATCGTCTTTTACCGTACAAGGATAAGCTTGACGAAGAGTCTAATAAGTTCCTATCAGAAATTAAATACAGTCTTGGACGAGCTGTGGTTTTTAAAGAGACCAGCCCTGGAATTCTATACTGGAGCAATAGACTGACAAAGTAAGTTGCTAGTTTTAACTTAAAATAAGTCAAATTTGGGCCGTCAATTCAAAGTGTAAACGTGTGGAATTGATGATCGCCGATGTTGTAAGCTATTGCACCCGGTGACTAATGCTTAGATCAAGTCTGACTTCCGTCGGAGAAGACTCCCCGGTTTTTTTTCAGATATTAGGATGTCATGTATATAATTTGATTTTTAATTGGGAAGTGAACTTGAATTTTAATTTTCAATTATACCAAACAGTTTCCTTGGAAGTTTGTAGACAACAGACTTCTTCCCCAACATACATTCATGGTAAATCACTTGAAATGATGTGCTCGGTACAAGGTGAAGATCACCTGTATAATTGTATTAAAAGAGGTCATTTAAATTATGTTCCTTTGATTGGGACAGCTTGATAAATTTGATACACCATATAGGATATAGGCCCAGATTTTAAAGGTGCACAGCGCAAGTTGTGTTCATTTTAAGACCTGACTTGTTTTGACCTCGATCAATTTGTAAACAAACACAATTTTTAATGCTTTCTACAGTGCAGTGTGCATTGTACATTTATGTGATCATGTAGTGAGCAGTTGACCATCATCACCAAAAACTTGCATCAATGGGGAATTAGATGTACTAAGAACACATTTCAGACACAGAAAATGCCCTGAGTCATAAATGATTGGTCAGCATTTTTTTAGCAGGGTCATTCACAGTTTTCTGTCACTTAGCAAACATATAATTCTGAAAGTGGGCATCATTACAAAACTGACTTCACAAAATTTGAATTGAAAATTGCAGAATGCATGCTGAAAATTCACTGAGAATTGAACTGACTTTTCATTTTAAAACTCTTGGTTAAGAAAAGTTGTTTAACATGTCTAAGTATGTCCTATTGGCTCAATGGATAGCACTTCTCCTCTTAACCCTTTGCACCCTAAAATCAGTATGGATATTCTCCCTACTGCTCTTCATATATTTTCGAAGATGTTGGCAAGGAGAATTTGTTCACCAATCAAATGCTTCTTTCTTTGGTGATCATTTCCCTCATTCTCATGACCGTAACATGTCTTTCAGGGGTGGTATTAAGAAGAAGCATGTGTTTTTCTCTTTTGGCCCAGATTGTCACCAGTTATTGGGCAGTAATCAGCCTTTAAGAAGCAAATTACCAAAGCTCAGTATTTATCTTTATTTTTCTTTTGTTTGGAAAAAAAAGAGGAGGCTTTTACTCTTCCAGCCAACAGTTCATTCATATTGTGTCTTTCGGCATCAAATATTTAAACATAGGGTCAATGAGGTTGCAAGGTTGCAGCACAGAAGGCTTATTGATACATACATGGGAGATGTCTTTTGGCCATTGAGCAAGTGCTTTATATGTTAAGTTAAGCATGCAGTCCCAATTTTAGCCTACTTTTCATCCATCAATACATACATATATAATTACTGTATTTCTGTCTGAATTTCAGAGTAGCTTGGTGGTGCTAATTTCTCCAAAAAAACAAAAAAAAAATCGATACAATTTTCTGCTCTCAATTTTCAGCTGTTATTTAAGTACAGATTATTCCATTGCAGTCTGTTGCAATTTTTGACCAATTCTCAACTATCAGTGAATCGTGCAAAAGCCTAATGTGCTAGTCAGCAACCAAAACTTTAACAGGAATGGAAGCAAGGAGTGATGCAACAATTGAGTGATGGATGGAAGGAGTGAATTTTGGGTCACAGCAACAACTCTGAAATGGCTTAAAGCCATTTTCCAAGTTAAATAATTAAACCATGAAACAAAATTTAACCCTTAAACCCTTGCAAGTGACTAACACTTATTTCTCCCAATAGTATAACCCCTGCATCACACAGTAAGGTCATGAGAATCACCAACTAAATATTCTCTTGATTGATAAACAAATTCTCCTCGTTAGCACCTCAGGAAATGTATAGTAAACAGTATGGAGAATATGCATACTGATATTAGGGTGTAAAGGGTTAAGCTAAAGCTTGTACAGTAAACTCAGTATACGTGATTGTTTACATAATAAGCTCAGTTATGCACGTATTCTGATTGGTTCTCACTTATGATCTATTGGAGGACAGATGTATTGATGACATCATCATTGAAACTTTTTTTAATTCTTTATTATATAAAAAAAAATAGATTCCAAGTTGCTGTACGTCTGTTGAGTAATAGATCACAGAGGACGTCAAAATGTGGTAAGAGCATCAGTGACACAATCAGCTGTGCCACGTGTGCCACTTTTTTGTTCTTACCACATTTTGAAGTCCTCTGTGATCTATTACTGAACAGATGCTCAGTAAATTGGAATCTATATGTTAAACAGTGTATTCCAGACAGTCTGTTAACATGCATGATACAATGGTTGCAATCTTTAAAGTACTGTCTATGATTTGTTTGTTTGTTTTTATTTCTTTTCCAGTTACATAAAGCTATATGGAAGGAAGTTTTCAAAAGAAGATCATCTCCATTTTATACACATCTTTTTTGAGTTGGTAACAGCTCCTAATCTTGATCCACAATATGTGATTGCATTTGGCCATGTGTTGATCCTTCTGCTCAAGTAAGTAGAATATTTCTGGTTAGGTCATTTTCTACTGAGTACTGAAGAAAATTATGGGCTGTCAGCTACTCTACACACAACCCTGGATACATGCACCTACTAATTGATCCAACTGTTCACTTTCCATTTCATTTGTCAAAGATACAGTTACTGTGCTGCTCCTGTGTACTGCAGTGTATCTAACATACTTACTATACATGCAATTCCCATGTATTATAGGCATGCAACTTTATCACTCTTGGTCATACCACGCATAAGTGTACAGTATACAGTATTATTAGACCTCAGCAGTCTCTCAACTGTTGTTATTTTAATCTCCTTCTGGAGGACAATGTGCAAAGTGCCCTTTTATTCTCTTTTTATGGCAACTAAGGTACTAATATATTACTAAATTCATTACCAATGTACCAATAGTCTACAGAATTTCTTTGAAAGAAATTTCAGGTAGAGCCTTTGGTCTAGCAATGGAAGTCTCCTTTCTCTATAAGCAGCTGCCAATGATGCAGTACTGAGTGATCTCACCAATGTGTATATGTTTGTTGAAGGCAATACAACTTTTTCTTTACATTACATTTTTTGTTCTAGGAAGAGGGGATTAATATCCAGAGATGACCTTGTTTTGCCATGGAGACCTCTTCGTGATCTTGTGGATTTCACATTTTATTCCAAATTTGAAGTGCATGGACTGAAGAAACATCCTTTGTAAGTTGATTAATTTTTTTTTTTTTATATCATGCCGAATTAAATGAAATTACACTTCAACAAAGTGAACCATTAAAACCTCAATGGGCCTTTCTAGTCAACTCTTTTTGTCATAAGTACAAGTTCATATCCATGTGTCACAGCTGACATCTTAGAATTCTCAAGCAGTATGGAGCACTTCTTTTGGCATTTCTTTTTTTTTCTTGTATTCTTCCAACCACCCCATCCCACCCTTTTTTCCTTCCACTGATCTACAAATGCAGCAAGTGACATGTTGACCAGTGCCTTGTGTAGGTGCTCATGGCTGATTTGCAAGAATTTGTTTGAAGTATTTCCCACTGACTCTTTCAAGCAAGATAACATACCGGGACCCAGCACCTCCCATTCCAAACTTCCTTTTCACAATTGTGTTCCCTCCATGCTACATGTAGTAAGACCATAACAGAAAAGGAACACACACATACATGTACACACATATCCAGTCGAGCTGAAAAATTCTCCATGTTGTGCAGTATTACAGGTCATTTCTCCAATTTTTCACCCTTTTGTCCATTGTAAGACTCATGATATTCTGCCTCAAATCCCCCATCAACTGTTGTTTTGTGTGGGTACCCAAAGCTGATTGGCAAGAATTTGCTCAAAGTACATGTATACCCCTACCAATGTATCTTGTACAGTGTACATCTGATTGCTGGCATGTGATTGAAACAGAAAAAGTTTAATTGGACATTTTAGGCAAGTACATGAACATTGTTCATCTGTATGCACCTCCAACATTTGCACAGTGTTATAATTAAATTGTGTAGAACACAATTTTGCACTTTTTTTGCATAAAATTTTTGTCCAATCAGGTTATTCTAGGTTATGATGTTTCAGAAAAATTACGAACACTACATGAGATGAATTGTGAAATGAGGAACACAGATCGTTTCTTACTTTAGTTACTCAGTGATCTGTAGAACTCGTGTGCGTCACGTTATGAACCAAGCAGTGGCTTAGCTTACCTTAGTGTTATCTGAAGCACAGTGATAGAGCATCATAGCACAGGAACAGAAGGTCTGAGGTTTGATTCTGGGCAGGGGACTCAAAAATTTTCTTTTACACACACACTCAAGAAAAGTTGAATAACATCTTTCTGTAAGCCATAGATTCCTTTGAATCCAGGACCAAAAAGTGATGGTTTTGTTATTTGTGCATAACCCTGTTAAACTTCCTTTTTGTCTTATAGGAAGCTTGAAGAGACAGTGAAACATATTGTGTATATGTCCAGAGTGTAAGTACTAAGAGTCAGCCGTGCACTGATTTTTAACAACTGGGTGGTTTCTTAATAAGTGATCCTTTCCTTTCTTTTCATGAACTTTACATCTGATTCAAGATTGATACTGAAAGGAGAAAACAGAAACCAGTCACTGCAAGGGGTTATGAAAATTCTTAATGGATAGTTAACATGAGGCTCTGATGTAACCCCTGCCCCAAGAAAAGAACTACATTTTTTACTGCAATTCCCAAAAGTGGTGATAGACGAGAGACCCCACTTGTCACAACTTCACATTTATTTGATCTCACTCACAAAATAGGAAATCCCAGCTATGACTTAGTTTACACAATTTTCCAGTTTTGTAAACCTTTGATTTCAAATAGGAAATTTCAGTAACAGACTTGGAACTACATGAATATTATTGAGTCTACATTTGTCAGGTGACTGGGGGGAGGGGGGAAGGGGGGGGGACATGGGCCAATGTCCCCTTTTCCAGACAATAATTCAACTTTGCCTTTTCTTTGTTACTTTCAGGTACTTTTCAGAAGACTCCACACAGGAAATGCTGGATGAGTGGCGTCCTTTGCTCTGTCCTTTTGATGTCAAGTTTGCCAAAGCAATGTTCTACTTTTCCTTATTCTTACCCACTACCCTCCCTCCAGAAAAATATGACAAGGGTTACAAGTATGTTCTGTTGTATACCATCATTATTTAATACTCTGTGAGATTAAAAATACTTTGTGCAAAGAACACTCTTGGTGACATGCTGCGAAGTTGGAATCTGCATGATTTTAGTTAAAATAGTTTTGTATATGCCTTTTGTGTTTATTGGTTTATTTAGCTTATTTATTCATTTGTGGATATCACTCTTGTACTTGTTATTTATGTAGGAATCAGGTTATTAGAACCTTAAGTCTTCAGTAGTAACACGTCTCCACTCTACAATGTGTTCCACTTTTAATTTATCTGTGGTAAATGTACCCTGTGCACATTATTTACTGAAATATATCAATATACAATGTACCTATGGTAGTGAAATAATGAACTGATTTTTTTCTTCTTTTCCTTTTTCTCTTTTTTTGTTTTCCTTGTTTTGTATTGTTTTGCTGGTTTTTTGGTTGCTAGCTTTCCCACTGTTACAAGTAATTCATCTTTACGTGTACATCTACCTAGGAAAGATAATTATTGTTTAAGATGGGCAAAGAAGGAATATTATATTAACTTAAAGATGAATAATGAGCTAAGATTACAGAGATAATTAGATGGAGAACACACAAGGCTGCACACTGCACATGTATCTTGTGCAAATACCCCGATATGCTGCAGAGCATTAGTATGGTAACTAATAGCCTGACTAGCCAAAGGGTAGATTAACTGCTGTAATGAGTTTTGTAAAGCTTGAAACATTACCTTTTATTTACAATTTCTAGATATAAGTAATGTTTGGAATTTTTTTCTAGGTTATGGTTTGAGGAGCTTTTGGGAATTTGGCAAGCTTGTACAGGTGGCTCAAGATGGGAAGAGGTACAGTGTACAGTACACCATGTAAAATGTTCCTCAGCACCAGGGCTTGTAAAAAATTTGAAAGTAGAAGTACATAAGATGGCCAAGTTATAGGTACTATTCAGTTTAAGTGCCCCAGATGCTCCACAATGTAGCATGAACCTTCAAACAAAATTCTGAATACAGAATCAGTTCACGTGCTTAAACCAGTCATTGCTAAATTAGGCATTCAATTCCACTTAATTACTGGAAAGTGGCTGCTGTAAGAATTTCTTTGGTGGTTTTTCAGTGCTGATTTTTCATCAGCACTTATTAATTTTGAAAGTGGCTGGACTTGCCGTGCCAGTGACTTTTGCGGGCGGCAGGCTCTTATAGACAGTTGTGCCAACACCAGGCATAGTCTGATGAATATTTGTGAGTACAAATGTACCCTTTCATTTCATTTTTTTTCTCAGGACTGCTTGAAGTTGTTTGCCAGGCTTGCAAAAGACAATGTGGGATTTATAGATTGGAGTCCATACCTTGCCACTGTAAGTAAAATAGACCTGTTTTTCTTTGAACAATTGGAAACTTCAACATCCCCTCCTCCCTGGCAACCTGGGGTAGTTGACCATGTTCCAGGCCTGGGGTTGGGAATTTGAACTTTGCCTGGGTGGGGTGGGGAATTCAAACTGGACCTGTCAAGTCTTTCCAGCAGAATAAGTGTGTTTTATTTTCAAAAATATGGGTGTGGAAAGGTCTACTAGGATATTAAGATCACTTCTGCCTTGTACAAAAACAAATTGGTGATCAAATGCTGCACTTTGGTGAGGCGTTTGATTATTGTTTTGGTCCTGGTAGGTGGGAATTTGAATGAACCAATCTTTAAAAGTTCAAATGTCCAGGGGGTTGCCTGGGAGGGGTGGATGTGGAAGCTTTACATTGATCAATGCATTAATCCTTGAATTAGAGTTTGAGGTTCTTGATTCAAATGTAGGATGAGACATGGGATGCTTACTCATGTACTCATGAGTTGCGTCTATGCAAAATATGGGATTGAGGGGGTGAGGGGGGTTTTACTATGCCCTTTTTCAAATGTAGAACGAATGTACTAAGTTAAGACAGGGGGTTTTAATTTGTGAGCACCTGCATGCAATTCAGGGGAGCTATAGGGAGGGGGTTTTACAGTACAAACCTGAGGTTTCTTCAATTCCTTTGCTCTAAATCCTGTTTGGGATAATTATATCTATTCTCTTCAGAGCACTTAATCACGACATTGAAGGAAAAAAATTGCACTGACTTTTCCTCTAAAGCTTTCAGATCTGAAATAAAATTTTGCACTAATCCTGGGTTATCTTAACCCAGCTTTGAACAACCCAGCCTTGTGCTGTAGGCTTTTTCTTTGATGTATATACCCTTTGCCACTTCTGACGTAAACCTTCATAATAAGTTATCTAAGGTTAAAAGACTCAATTTGCTCATTGCACAGCTGTGCATTGTTCAAAATCTTGTTTCTACTCATATTTTTCTGTCTTTTGTAGGTGTTTACACGGATATTGAGAAATTTTCATCTTCCTGTGGGTGGAAATTCTCCAGCTAGCAGCCTCAAAGATTATTCAAGCATTATAAGTTCATTTGTAGTGTGGATCATCAATTCTATGGTATGTCTTTCATATGATAATTATTAAAAAAAGTTAAGGAGGGTAGAAGTTTGAAAGGTTTATTAACAGTCAAGAGAAGGAAAACGAAGAGACTCTGATGTATGGTACCAGAAACGATTCACTATAGAGGTGCCGAGACCAGCTAACAAAACATGTTCTATACAATTTGGGTCGATCGCTCAGCTGAGAAAAGTCTCTCATTTGAAATCTGTGAGCTGAATTATTGGTGTTAAAAACTTTCTTACAGAAAATTACGCCTTGAAGTTTTTGACAGTCTTTCTAAATGCAAAGTTGATGGTTAGACTCAAATGCTGCATGTAATATGATATGAAGTTTCTCTCAACGAAGTCAGTTCGACTTGATCACCGCTCATTTTAGGTGTTTGCGTATCTCGCAGATATGGAACGGCAAGAAAGAAAAAAAAAGAGAGAAATGAGATACAGGGGTTTCTTCGTTTCATAATTCAAGCAAAGATCGATTCTTTTTTCAGTTTTGTTTTTCAGATTTTATCTTGCGGTCGTTAATTGGCAAGTTTTGTCGAAATTTTAGTCGCAAAATATATTTTTACTTGCAATGGCTTGGGCGCCTCTTAGGCCCCGTTAGTAGTTTTTTGATTCGCCATTTCCTTTACTTATGCGCCATATGCGCATAGCGCACAGCCTTCCCAACCCTGTGTGATTACTGTGTTGATGTTATTTTCAACAATTATTACTTTTGTCCCACAGGGCAGCTCCAGTACAACTCAAGACCATCTCTGTAAACTGTTCAAAGCACTTGAATCATTTTATCATCCTTCCAACAGTGGACGCTACTCGGTAACTATATTCACTTGCACAATGCACTCTTGTCTACAGCTGTAATTGCAATGCATATGTAATGCAAGTTTTGGTATCATCATTTAGGGCTCCTTTTTTCAAATAAGGGATAAGATAGTGGGTGTTCATTTTGACAGGACAAAGGGGATGGGTGGTGGGGGCAGCTTACGGTCGTATTTCATGTTTCCTTAATTGTGGCCAGTACAAATGTGCTGCATTATATTTCGTAGTTTGTAACTCTGCACAAAAACCACAACCCAAATAACTTACAGTGTATTCTCCTAACTATTGGCATTACGGTTGGTACTCATGAGTTATTTCGAAGCTTAACATGTTCAAAAACCCATACAAACGTGAGCGCTTTAATTGTGTAGACAAACGTATGTGAAAGTGGTCAGTTATTTCAGTATTTGTCCAGAAAAATGAAGGAACGAGTATGGGCATCAATTTAAGGTGGGTTGCTCTTCAAAATTTTTTGTCTGAGAGGAAGATCAGCCACAGGAAAGGAGCACCTACGGAAGGGAGGCAACAATTCAAGGATTTCTGGCACTTAACAGCAATTTTAATTTAAAACGTTTGTGCATGAGCACTTTTATATGTTGTTAAAAGTATTCTGTTTATTTGTGTCCTTTCTTTTACAGGGGAAGCTTCAGAGATTTCTCTACAACTTGCCTAAAGAAATGATTAAAAGGCTTCACAGGTATGATTTTACCAAGATTATCACATACATGTGTAATACTGTAGGAATTGGCTGAAGTCCGTTGCTAGCAGTAAACTGCCCTGGAAGTTTGTGAAATGTGTGGTATACCCTGTGTTTTACCAGCAAAACAATTAAGGTTACTCCATGCCATTTCATGCTTTAGTAACGTGAGGGCTTGATGGGCCAGCTATCTTGTTTACAGACCATAGCCCACCAATATCCCAGATTGTTTCTACAGTCACATGATGATGCTTTCATGGGTGCCTTCACTTGTAGTATAAACATGCCCATACATGTATACACAGCACATGATGATTGATAAGTTTTCTATTGTTTTACACTGTATCTGTTCTTCTTACAGAGAGAGATTTCCAAAGAACACTTGGGTGACTCCCATACCACAAGAGGCCAAGTTGACAGATGCAGAACTCACTGCATTTGTTGAATGCCTTAAACCTGCTGTCATGTTGGCTGTGTTTCACAAGAGTGGAAGCTTTGATGCGGCTGGAGCACTGCAAAACTTGGCATTAATCAAACCTGATATTGTTCTTCCAACTTTACTGGATAAGTAAGGTTCACGGCAGTTACTTTTCCTTTTTGATATGTTCCTTTCCCACACAAAGAAAATCTAAACATGGCAGAAGGCCATTTTGCAAGTTAGTTATGATTACAGCTAGATATCACATTTTTTATGACAGTCGACTCTCGCCCTGCAGACACTTCTCTATTAAGGACAGCCCGCCATTGCGGACAAAAGCCAGCCCCCAGCGAACGTATAAAGAAATGACTGGAACAAACTTCCTTTATCAGGGACTCTCGCTATTACGGAAATGCGGACACTTACATGCCCCCTGCGCGACACTTCACTTGTTCTTTTCTCTCGCTTTAGTGGACACTTCGTCCAAAATCCTGACTCACATGGTATAAAGCCACATGTTGACGAAAATCAAGAAACCATCCTTCAATTGGGTGCGAACAGGAGAATTTTCCTCCTCGCGGCCGGATCTTTTTCGGTTCATGAGACCACATTAGAAACTTTATGTTTGCGTATTTACATATTATTTCATATGTTTAGAAACAAAACATTTTTTTTCTATCGTACCCCGCTATTACAGACTCTCGCAATTACGGACATTAAATCTCCACCTGAGGGTGTCCGCAATGATAGGAGTCGACTGTATTCCCAGCACGAATAATTGAAATTACAATTAAATCAATGTGGCGTACAGTACACATGTACTTATGCTTTATACACTGCTCAGTAGTGTATTTTTAAGAACTTTTGCTCAAATACTTTCCAACGACAGGCTCTAAATAGCATTTGATACGATTGTCGTAGGGAACGAATTTTTACCTAGAGTAATTCAACATGGTAGAAGGTTACCATATGATAGCATCAGAAATTGTCGGTATCATGTATTTAACTCTTCGTGATGACTAGTGCTAGATGAAAACTCTCTTTTCCTCTCTTCTCTACTACCTTTTCTTACATTCTTGTTGTCGGCTCGTTTTACTTCACTTGTCATTTGATTTATGGCATCAAGGAGACGTGCTCATGGCAAACACAATGCGATATTTCCTTGGCCAAAGAGAAAGCTGTTTTTCAAATTTGTTTCCAACACTTTTGCCCTTCAATCTACAACCATGAAAGAATTCAATTAACTTCTACGCTGTATATCTTTCCTTCCTGTTATAGGTTGTATGTTGCCCTTGCCACCCTTACTGAGCCCCATCAGTTGACAGCAACTTTAAACTGTGTCACGTCTGTAGCCAGGGCACTTGTCAGGCCTGATGAGTCTTATCCTGCAGGTCGACATCATGTTCTACCATTACTACAGCTTGTTTTACCAGGGATTGATCCAAATGACTTCAGAAAGGCTCTAGTGAGTTTATATTCCGTGTACAATGTAGTTTATGCTTTCAGGTCTATCTCCGTCAGGTGCGCTTAAGTTGGTGTCGGCCATGTGATATTTATAAGTTTAGGTCACAATGCAGCTAAGGTGTTTTGCTTTTCATTCCACAGGGAACATTTATGTTTATATCTACTGTTGTCTGTCTCGTTCCTGTGGTTGATTGTTCAGAAGCTGTGGGAATTGTAGAAATGACGGAGGTTAGTTACTATAATTGTGTTACACGTACTTGTTCACGTAAAGCCTTCTTTGTCTTTATTAGAAGAATAGATATCCACTTTTCCCCAGGACTTGTTCTGTAAATCAGGAATTTTTATTGGACGTTTGTGTACAAAATCGTGGACAGAAATGCTATTTAACTTCATAACATAGTTAATGTCGTAATGGTTTGGTTTCTGAACAAACTACTTTCGCTGAGATCCTCGTCCATTAAATATTTAACCACAAGTGGAAGTACTGTCGCAATCTGACTGGCCAATTTGTCGGTAAGAGTACATACAACACTGCTTACGTCAACGTGTCACGCAATGGTCACGCACCGAAAGAATCGTTTTATTTGACGTCGATATTATGGTTAATACAAAGCGACGGTGGTTTGTGCTCTAATCGACAGCGATATTCATCATCACACTGGTCAAAATTTGTAGCGGACAGACCGCGCTAAACCACTGTCGATTTGTTATATTAATGTTGGTTTCTGATTAGAGTGGGCTCGGCGTATGGGGTTATGGATGTACTCGGAAAGTTTGGAGAACAGCCGAGAGCGGCTGACGCAACCACAGCTGTGCATATTACATGTACAGGTATTATTTGAATTTTTTTATCATGATGATAACGATTACGATTTTTTTGTCTTTTTTATGCAGGATGAGAAGGAGTTGTGCCTTGCCACGGCTCAGTTTGAAGACTTTGTATTACAGTTCATGGATAGGTGAGTGACACTTTTTTTTTTAAATTTCATCAGTAATTCAATACATGTACATGCAAGTCCCTATTGGGTATTAAATAGCTTTTCTCAAGTGAAGGTGGCTAGTGGTGGATATTCACCGAGCTGCTAACCCACCGCTAGCAACACGGAGGTGAATAGTTATTTAGTATAGACCATAAAACCAAAACGATGATTTTACATCATTTATACTTGCAACGATTACAATATTTTCGGGCGCAAATCCCGCGAGCGTTGCTATGGTTATGATTACTAGCAAAATAGTTTCGTGCGGATTTTTTTTTTCTTTTTTGCTCAAAGGGCTTCTACGTGCAGAAGCAATCTCGTGAGCAGTTTCAAAACTGTACGCTAGGTTGGGCAAAGCAGAGAAAGCAATTCTTGTGAGTTGGCTGTGCATCTTTGCTCTGATACATCATGGGTATTGTCCATGATGCTGGCAGCATTTAGTTCATTGATCAACAAATTTTATCTGATCTTCTTCAGATGTTTTTCGATGATCGATAACTCGTCATTTGAGGCCACATCCGAACTGGACAGCACAACGATGAAAGCAGATCAGCGGCATTCGCTGGAGGGCATGATGGGAATGGGTGTAGCGTCGACGTTTCATGCCATTCTCATGCAGAGCTCCCCCAAGATTTTTCAGGTAAAGTTTTATCCTTCATTCGTTTGTCTGTTCGCAACTTCGCTCGCTCCCTCGTTCTTTTTTTTTTTTTTTTTTTTTTTTTTTCCCCGTTGACCCACTCGCAGGTTTTTTCATTTTTTTGCGCCATATAATCACTTTTTTTTTGTTCGTCCATTAACTAGTTGAATCGTTTGTGTAATTTTTCTTTATCTTGTTTCATATTTTCCATTGATGCCATCTTCCTTTTAATATTTTGATTTCGTATTTGTTTGTTTATCTCCTGTAAAAAGTGTGCCATAGTTTTTCGTTCGTAAGTCACTGACTGTAATGAGTAAACATTATATTATTACCTTGCTGCTCATTTTCGCAATCCACCAGGCACAAATTGAACCGTGCTTTCGCAAGAAGCAGTTACTGTGCATGAGGTTCATTAAAGTTTTGTTAAGCGGCTGCCGATGATGTAATAGGCGGCAGTGCCCGAAAAGGCGCTGCAAGTCGAAACCCAAACAGGAGAGCCTGCTCGCAAGCTAAACAGATAGCAGTGATAGGTGTTGTATATGTAGGTGGTGTTAAACCGCTCGTAAGTGGCTTTATTGAAATCTTTAAGTATTTCCACGTAAGACTTATTGATTTCGACAAATAGGTACATGTGTGATGATCTCCTTGCATGTTTTTTAGAGTGCCTTGGAGAAGTTGTTTGCCTTCTGTGGAAACAAAGTACTTGAAACGAAAGTAGCTGGAAAGATGGCCTCAGACATGTGCCGTGCGGCTGCCAGGGTCAGTATATAAAGGCATAGTCTTGGAGCGGAGCCTTTTTGTCAAATAAAATAGAGTCCAACGTGATATTGAAATAAGCGGGGATTGTATTGAGTTTGTTTCACTGCGCCCAGTGATTGAATGTCAACTTGGTCGCACACTTTTCCTGCGCTTTTGGCCGTTTCTACTTTTGCATGTTCTGATTGGCCCCTTTTGATATTTACGTATAACTTGGTTCTGATTGGCTGTTCGAAAGTGTTCTAACTGTCTATTTACAGCTTGCATTAGGAATTGCTTGACACGCAGTAAGTTTTGCAAAAAGAACCTTTTCTTAGAATAAGGTTCTATTTTTTGCAATTTCTTCAGATGTAAAACGTTTGTATGAATGGCTTAAAGATTGCTTGTAAAATAACGTTTACGTGTAGGTATAACTTCTCAAACTAATCCCGGCAGAGTAACAGGATTTTCTCTTACTCATGAAAATTATCATTTCGGTTAATTTAGTCAGGCAAATTAGTTGGTGAAGTCTGTATTTGATGCAATGTATTTTTCTCAATTTATAGACAAATTCCAACGCTACTCTAAAGATGTTTGTGCCTCACTGTTGTTCCATTATAGAACACTTGACCTCAGGTTAGACAATGTACATACAAAATAAAGGTTTTGGTTATGGCAATGTAAACGATTACCTGCCTCGCCAAAGTTGTTTCTTTTTATTTATTTATCTATTTATTTACTCAGCTATTTACCTACATACTTATCTGATTATTTATTATTAGTATATGTATTTATCTATTCCATTTTTGTGCGGAAACAAACGTAAACTTCGCTCAACCGACCATCCCTCCACTTTCGTGAAATTGATCGATTCCCACATCGCTTGGTTAGATCGTTTTGTGTTTTTGCGGCCATTTTGTAAATACTATAATCTCACTGTGATTGGCAATTTTTTTCTTTGAAAATTGTCAAGTGGAAGGCGTGGCAGACGAAGAAGAAGTTGATGATCAGCTTTTGTGGAATCTTCAACTTTTATCCGAGGTGAATATCAGTTTGTCTGTGCGTCATTTTGCTTCTGTGGAAGGTTAAGCTTAAATCGATGCCCACAATCATTTGAGAAAATAGTTTTATGTGTAGCAAAGTTTTCCTCAAAAGTTAACAGCAATTTCAGTGGAAAGACCTGGAAACGAGAGAGCCTGGCGAGAGTCTACCTAGGTAGCGGTCAGCTGCCACTGCTAAATGAGGAATGAAGCCAGATGTTGATAACAAGACAAATTGTAGTGGAGTTCTTGTTCCCCCTAGAGTAGTTTGATCAAAAATGTTTATAGAATTGAGTGCTTTGAAAGTACACTGTCTCTTTTCAAGAATACCGTACTTCCTCAAATAAGCGCCTGGGCGCTTATCTAAAATTTCGTTTAAAAGGGGAGGGGGGAGAAGGGGCGCTTATTAGAAGGAGAGGTCTTAATCTAGGGGGTGCTTGTTAAGTTAGCGCAGCAATAGGACAAACATCAAAAGAAATGATAATACACAGAAAGAACTCTGCAAACACACGGAGATACAATTAACTGGAACGAATTAGTATTTTGCTTTTCTGATTCCGCTGTAATCGAAGCTTAAAAACTTTGAATAAAGTGGTAATAGAAACAGCCTCTTCTTTTTTTTGGTATGTCTACTATTTGAGCAAATGAGGGAGGGGGGGGGGGGAAAGGGCATTTACTCGAGGAGGGTCTTTGGTCTTTGGCTAAAGGGGTGGTCGCTTATTCATGGAAGAGAAGTTATTGGAACGTGGGCGCTTATTTGAGGAGATATGGTACATCTCAGACGAACTCTCCCCTTAACGAGTCTTTCATTTTGTCACACAATGCGCTTTCTCCGCCGGAAGAAGTCGTTACGAAATCGAACAACGCTAGAAAAAGACTGTCCGCTTAAATACAATGTTGTTCTGTGTGTGCTTTTATTTTACTTTGGTTATGTTTGTTTGTTTGTTTCTCTTTTCTCGCGTTAGTACTGTAGTATTTCATATTTTCACGCTCTTTGTTTTTCTTCAGGTCGTTCGCTCCAGCGGAGCTTTGGAGTACAAAGACAAACTCATTACTGCTATAAAGGGTACGATTCATCTGAAGTGCAAAGAAGCAGCCACTTTAGGAGCCACAGTAAGTGGATTTTATATGATCATCAAGTATAACGTCTCAAATTAATGTATTATGGTTTTATTCGTTTTTGCGTAATGGAACTGTGTTGATTTTTTTTGTAGCTTCTGGAGCATCTCTTGCGGCCACTGGCTAAGATTTACCCCATGGAGTGGAGAAGCATATTGGTTGATTTTGGCACACCACCGTCAGAACATCTCTTTATTAGGGTGAGTGTTTTTTTTTCGTCACCTCCGTCAGAAGAGCTCTGGAAAATCATCTGAGATATAGAACTTTTTATAGAGACATTTGAGGATAAAAGAGGTTTCTGGCACGCCCTCTGTATTTTGTAAAAAAGACGTTTGTGAGTGTTATACAAACCGGATTGTCCTTGCAGCTGCGCAAGTACTGTTTTCTGAGTGGTTTTAAAAGCATTACATGGAAAACAGCAAAACTTGAAATTCTCACCATGTACTTTCACTAACACTTGATTGAAAATATTTGCTATAGCGATAAATTAGAGGTTTTTTTGGAGTATTTTTATTGCTCCTAGATGCGATGGTTGTCTATCGCAAGTTATCCGTCGGTAATTTTGTCAGGCTTCCCTAAAGTTCGCTTCTACCCTGCGGGGTGGAGAGAGACAAATTTGAGCATAACGTGTCTCGCCAAGAACACAACACAGTGACCCGTCCACTCTTGGAGCCAGACCTCTTGACCCAAAGTTATGAGTACTAACCGTTAGCCACCACCTCCCCCACGAACTCACCATTTGGTAATACGAATATTAACAATCGCCTACACTGTTCAACATGTTTAGGACTGGGGAAAGCCTGGGGATCTTTTCAACTTGAATATCCAGTGGCACATACCCACGAAAGAGGAAAAGCTTTTGGCAAAGGAGCTGTTGGACACTTTTCTACAGCCTGAGCTGACAAGACTGGAAAACTTCCTGGATGGATCGGTAACACTCTCGAGGTACACGCTTTTTTTGCACACGAACATCAATTTCGTAGATACCTTGACTCTTGAGATACCTTGACAAAAAATGCTTGGTTTATTGCCATGTTTGTGATCCATGATACAAGAGCACAGGTGCCATGGCCTCGGAACCAATTGAACCTTGGAATCGCAACATATCTTGGCTCCTTTTTGAAAGTTATTTGTATCACATTACTTCTTTTCACAAGTACGTTACATTGACGAAGGAATCGCTTATTATTGACCACTCAAAATTCACTTTTCAGCAGTACAACCCCTATCTTTGCCTGCGGAGTGTTTAAACAAATATGTAATTTTTTTTCCTCAGGGAGGAGCTTCAACAGTGTTTGAATATAATCTTTGGCTGTCTGTCTGGTGCGGCCATTCTTCTACCTGATTGGCAGAGACCTCCACTTGAGAACATGTAAGAGCTGGTTTGAAATTTTGCAATGATGTCAGTTGTTGACTTTGTCAAGAGAGACTCTTAATTGTTTACTTTTAATCTCATTTTACAGAGGTCTGAAGACTCTCGTAAGTCGTGGACGATTTCAGAATACTGTCTCTATGGATCCAGGTACTTGACTTGGTAATACATTGCTTTTTACTGCCTATTGAAGCTCAGCTAAGCCCAAAATTCTAAAGCTCTTTCATCCTTTTCTCAGATGTGTCCATGGGAGAAGACAATTCACGAGCAAGGATAGCGGAGTTGATCCACAAACTGTTAGGTAATCCAGCCACAGATGCATACAGTGCTTCTGAAATTCTCTACAGCTTGATGTGTGCTTTATTCACTTGTAATCCGGAAATGCGTATAGTGAAATACGCGCATGAGTGAGCGAGGGGGTGAGTGAGCGAGCGTGGGGGTGACCGTGCGAGCGTGGGAGTGACCGTGCGAACGTGGGAGTGACTGTGCGAGCGAGCAAACGCGCACGCAAGTGAATGGATAGTTTGTCTTAGGGATAAGACAATTTTTTTAATGACTAAAATTTTAATCATCTTTGTTTTATCAGCTCATCTTCTTTGCCACCACGAGGATCACACCAAGGCGCTTTTGATTATTGTCAAGGTAATAAACAATTTTCAAATCGATTTTTAATTATTTTCGTCACTAGTTGTGCCTCTTTATGTAGTTCGGGCGGTTCACACTTAGTCATTCCTTTCACCTTTGGCAGATCTACGATCTTCTAATGCTACATGTGGGAGGCCAAAGGGAAGAGTTTGATAGCAGGTGAAGCTTTTCATCCTTTTTTGTAACCCATCATTTGTGTAATCCATCTATATTTACATTCTCTCTGACGATGGGCTAAAGCTCGAGACGTCAGCTTCGAAACTCTTTTACGGTGGCAAATTTACGTTATCAACTCAGTTGATAACACTAAATTATCCTGTTATACTCTCCCACCGACACAGTACCACAGTTTCTCTAGAAACTTACCCCCTTTGTCCATCTACATTTAGTTCGTTTCGAATAATTTTTTCATGCTGTGTCGCTGAAAGTACGGTTCCAGTCAAAGATTAGATGACAGTCCCTCGAAAATTGGTAATACAATCAAGACTGGAGAATTTTTGTCGGCCCGTCAAAAGAAAACTTTTGAGTCAGTTCTCGGGAAGTTCGACAGAAGAATGCAAATTCTCTTCCTTTCCAATGATAGTCGACGAAAAGCAGGGGGTAACTTGTTATTAATTAGCATGCTACCGAGGGGTAGCAGCCAAAACAAAAACCAAAATGATTTGTTCAACCAATAACTCGAAAAACAGAGTTTTCATGCATGCACTAGGTGAACGTGGGTTACAAACTCACCTGAACTATTCCATGTTGTAGCAACTTAAATGTAATCATTTTTCTTTTCTGTAGATGGCGAAGTGCGAGTGCCGTTAAAAAAGCCATGGAAGACAAGGTATCGACCGTGTCTATAGTCTACAATCCCTAAGTCTTTTCCTCCTGTTTTCGAAACCTACGACGCTTGTTAGAATGACAGTCAGGCGCACTTTCTATTGAGTGTCGAAAGTGATTCGGAATTTCTTAAGTATTGTTTTACTTCCCACGGTTGCGAGTCCAGCTAACACAGGCCACTTTTCCAACCGATCAGATTCAAAACTAAAAAACCAACCTTGACTTATTGACTCCATTTCTCTCGCGCTCCAGGCGGTTGACTTGTTTTTACTTTAATTCTCATTATAATCATTTTCTTTTGATGTCAGTATTTGTTGTGATGTCTTTGGTTTCGGGTTTACGACGCTCGATCCAGACCCCCTCTCGATTTAAGTTAGTTAGTCTTGTGGGAATAATGTTACCCGCACCTCGTATATTATTCCAATCTTTTGGTGGCGAACTAAAAGACGCCTCGTATTGATTTCATGCGGGCAAAATTCTTGACAAACCGTTCGTTATTTCTTCTTCAAATTTTTAAAGCGGAAATGATCTTTAAAACAACTCGATGTCCATGTAGCATTTGCCTCTCCACGTTGTGTCACGCTATATGCATAATTTAAAAATATATCACTTGTAAGTGAATTATGTAGAAGTGTATTGTATTTAGGGGCAGACTACGATTTTTTAAGAGGGGAAAAAAATTTTGAAAAAAACTGTTTGCGAAAGAAAAGAAAAATGCAAAACGAAGCCCAAAAGTTGTCAGCAGAATGAAACAACCGAATTAAATTATTCTCATACAAAACGTCATGACAATTTTTTTTCTTAAACGGATATTTATCCCTCTCCCTCTTAAAAAAAAACAGTTTTGTTCCAATTTTAAAGCAAAGTTGGTAGTTTTGGTAGCATTAACCTTTTCCGTTTTCCCTTCGTAAGCATTGGTAAAAAAGTGGTACTATACTTAAGTGTTTTTAACTTAAAACGCGTTCTACGTACAGCTTGCAGGGAAAAAGAAACACGTCAGACCACTGCTTATTGAACGAGTTCAGTTACAACACGAGGTACGCTCAAATAACCGTCATGGCACACCTACAGTTTATCGTATTCTTTTTCCAAATAATGTAATACCCCATTCAGCAAAGCTTTAATGTGTTTCAGAGTTGTTTTGTGAAACACAGTTTAATTTTTTTTCTTTGAAGGAAATTCTTACTTAAACCTCTTACTTAAATTGTAGTGCATTGGAAATGTAAGTTAGCAAGTACGTGAATCCTATGGAAAAATAAGTTTTTCAGTTCTCTGTTTATGATTTTCATTCTGTAAACACCAGTTTAACAAAACATGTTTTGCTGGTGTGAATAGGGTATAGCGACTGGCACAGTGTAATACACGGAATGAATCAGATGTTAAATAGTATCTTCTCATCAATATCCTTTCTCTTTAACATCTTTTCTCGAAAGAGGCGCATCTTAGACCGGATTTCAACGCAGTTAACAACACTACATAAAGTTTTATTGGACGATTTGTTTAAACTTGCAACAACAGTGTACACAGAGGTGAGCCTTCGTTGTTTTTATATTTTTATTACATCCGTTACGAAATCTCTTGTGATCCTTGTTATCTGATTGGCTCTCATTCGCGAATTGCACCATTCTTTACTCTAAATCAGTAAGCGAAGACTGAAATCGCATCTTTTTCCAGCCAATGAGGAAGCTTTACTTATATACAACTGCCAGTTGCTTGTTGAAAGAAACCAATCGAAGTGCAGGAAAATGAAAAAACAACTTTTGCAACTTTATACAAACCAGCTTACTAGTGGATCAGCGAAACTTTTGTTCGGACTAAATCCGGTATCTGAGTGACTGTATTTTACGATTTCAAAATGGTTCTAATAAAGTGGTTATTGAACTGAGTTGAGTGAAATTTGGTTTGAAATCGTACTTGTGACTCTAAATCACGGATATGATTTCAGTCCAAATTGCACTCCACTCAGGTCAATATCCATCATTTATATTTTAATTTAACTTTATTTAATTTTTTTCGTATGACTTATAATGATTGATAAAAAGGTTAATAAACTCATAAAATAATCACGCTATTAATAGTAATACTAAGAATGTCGGTTAAACCTCCAACACATCAATTAATGATTACCTCCAACAAAATTAAATTATTTTTCCCATACTTTTTTCTTACCTCGTTTTCTCAATTTCTATTTATTTATTTACTTTTTTTTTTTGCGGTCTGCATTAGTTTTTCATGGTTGTCCATGTCTAACGAAATATCTCATAGAAACATCTTTGAAAGTGTCACAGGTTTGGCGTATGATTTCTCTCTCATGAAAAGAAAACAGGAAAATCAAGTTGAAACGTGTCACTACTCTGATGATTTTCACTTTGACGCTCGTAAAGTGCGTCATATTTTACCTGTAAGACATATTATGGAGCAGTGTCGGCGGTATCTGGTGCGTTCTTGAGGACCCTATTTTCACATTTTTTTCGGCAGGTTCGTATCAAAGCTCAAAGAGTCTTGTCTTCTTGTATCGATGTGTTTGATAACTTCGCCCGCACTTTGGTTCCACCAACACTCTCCAAGCTTCAGAACAATCCAGATGTCTCTCATGAAGAATTCAAGGTTTGTTGCCCTTTTATAGTGGGCTACAATTGTAGTTTGAGCCAGAAGTTTTTACAATTTTCACACGTTTAGCGACTTTCTAGCAATTTTCTCATGCAGTGGTTTGAGACCAGACGCTACCTCAAGTGACTGTTACAGGAATGTTATCTGAATGAACGTACTTTCCTATTTGAATGAGGTAGCGCCCATGCCTAGGAACATTTCATCAACAGCATCTCTTTTCCTTCCTCCTTTTTTCCTTTTATGGATTTATGAATGTGCTTTTTCATTTATTTCAGCTTTTTACGCTCTTCATCAAGAGAGTTTTGAAAATTAATGTCCGTTTCTTTGTCAGTTTTAATTTGATTATTCCATGGCTATATTGTTGGTGGTGCCATCGTGTAAATTTGTAACTCACTCAAGGCCTCCTGAGGCCCCTGGAAAACGTCCATGTTTCCCTTAGACAGGGAAACAAGCTCTCCTGGGACCCGTTTTTCGAAAGTCCCGGTAACTTATCGGGCCCGAAGTCATATTTTAAAATCAAAAGTTACAGAAAAGAGAAGCAGGCTCTGACACCCTAACCAGTCCATTTTGTTTCTTTAACAGCTAATTTCATTTTATCATTCTCAACATTTTTAATACCCCCATGTTCAGTGAAAACATAACAGCTTTACGGGCCCGTTAAATTAACGGAACCTTCGAGAAACGGAGCTCTGTTTGGCTTCCGCCTTACGGCCCCTTCGCCCATGAAAGGGGTCCTTTCCAAGGCATAGCCGCCTATTATTACACAATCGGCAGCCGCCTTGGGGAAAAGGTACTCAAAACCTCGCCTTACGTCGTGAATGCGTCTCATGTATCCTCGGGCCGTTTTGTTTTAGGGTGCGCTCTATGTGTTGCTGAATAACCGCATGTTGTTCCTGATAGTGCACTATTGGGAGGTCATGGTGGACGTCTGGCCAGTTATTATTCAGGTAGTTACAGCATTTGAAGTAGGCCATGTTCAGTTTTTGCTCATTGTTGTTGTTGTTGTTTTTTTTTTGTATCATTTTGTTTAAATGGCTGTAAATGTATAAAACCCATATTTAGGAAATATGGAAATTTATGTCGTGATAATGAACTTTCCTGATAGGCTGACCATTCTGAGAAACCTTCAATTATAACTCTGATTACAATGCTGGCAGAGAAAATGGTGAAGAAATACGACACAGTGGCTATCAGTAGAATGGTAGGATCCAATTCATAATGATATTCTTTCTTTCTTAAGTTCATTGGTTTCTTCATTTTATCTTTTCTTTTAATATGTTTTTCGTTCTCGTGTCTTTAAAGAACAAAAAAGTTACAAATGATCTTAAAACCAGATTTTTCCCTCCCATTCTCAATTTTTTTCTCATTTAAATTTTTTCAAGTAAGCCGAGTGATTGCAGGGCCGGAAGGCTTTTTTCTGACCGGCTCCCATCAACCTACGCACGTCAGCTTTCACTGTCGTCAGTTTTGCATGGGCTTGCATGAGCGGGGCCGTACCGGTCGTATGATAATCCCAATTAATGTGAAATAAAAAGTGATAAGTAGAAATGAAAACATAGGTTTGTAATTTTGTTTGAGTTGACACCGGATAAGCAATGTATGAAATACTGTGCAGAACTGAGAAGGCAATACCTTAGCCTAGTTCAAATGTATAAGATTATAATTGGTTACTGTGATATCAATTGCCATCATTACTTTGATATTATTGGAATAACTCGAACTAGAAGTAAGCATGAGTATAAAATAAGGCCTAAAGTTGCTCGTACAAATTATTTTAAATATTCTTTTTTTAATAGATATATTAACGATTGGAACTGAAGTAATGTCATCCCCTAGCCTTCAGTCTTTTAAAGTTTCACTAATTAAGTACCTCCGCTCATAATTACCCCAAATTTAGTTTCCCCCTACTACCGTCCTGTTAACCATTTTTGTACTTTTGTTCGATGTATGGTTACGAACTGTGATTAAAGATTAAATGAGATCTTGATCTTGGTGGTTAATGGGTTAATTCCTGTCGTTCTTTGTCATCCTTAACCATCTTGGGTGCTTTGGTGGCTTACTTTTACCGCTTTGGGTTTTGGCAACTCAAAACCACAAAACCTTCGCCAAAGAATTAGGCCGTTGACTTGTTTTGAAACGTTTTCGAAAACTTCAATTCAATTTGAGGCAAGATCGGCCATTAGAATGCTAGAATGGTTTACGTTGTAATTTCGTAACCGCGCCAGTATTTGTATCTACCTACAATACTTACAATTGTTGTTTATGATCTCTGATTCACCTCTAGGTGACCGATGCTGCAGTTGAGCAAGCTAAGCGACTTTTAAACTCCACTGGACCGACCCCTCAAAGTCATCTGAAGGCTCTCCCAAGTCCGACAGAGACAGCCCTACCAACCGAATTAGAACTGAAAGAGAGCGAAGAGGCCTGGAACACAACGCGAGAGAGTAATTTAAGGTAGCTAGAAACACCATAACAACAACCATGATCATTTCGATTACAAGAAACAGCTCTCAATTTCATCTAATTTCTGTCATCTTTGCTTCCTCTGGTCCTGAGCAGTGAACGTCACAAATGTCTTCGAGCGGAATAATTCATTGTTCTCCATGATTTTGTTATTCCTGGCTTTGTATGATATTTCTTCGGATTCCTCATTTATAAGATCTTTCTTTCTTTTCAGGAATTATCAAAAACTCGTTAGTATACTTGTTGATATGCTGGAGGGCGAGAATTTGTAAGTTATTTTCCTTGTTTTAAGAGTTTAAGTTTAGGAGTTTTAATCTAGCGTGTGAAACATGCTCTTTTCGCACTGGACTACGGAGATCGAACGGTCCAGCTTCGTTCATGGGCCGGATCAACTGTAAAATCTTCACGACAAGACCCTTCAATCCCACAGGGTGTCTCTCCACAATTTAATGTAAATAGGAACCATTAAATTGTCGGGAAACTAGACGAAATCCTTGTCGACCGTAGGAGCGGGGGTGGGGGTAGGGAGGGTTAACCTTGTGACCTCGTGGTAGATTAGTATGTTGTCAAGAGAGTAGTTGCTATGGTCTTACTCGTTTTCGGGATAAACTCGTGAAACGATCCTCGTGGATCGTAAGCTAAATTTATCCGACCTATACCTCCCAGGCACATTGCTTGTATAGCCATTGGACCTTCCACTTGTTAGTCTCGCCAGAACCTTTTTTCCATATTCTGTATCCTTGAAACAGTATCCCTGATGAGTTTGTATTCCAGCTTGTAGTTCCATTGTTTTGCACTGATTGTATTTATGTCATAAATCCTGTGTAATCCTCTTGTATTCTTCTGTTTTCAGACGCTGGCGTTATCTTCAGATTTGTTTCAGTTTCCTCTTAATGCTAATCCGTTATGATGTTCCTCTGCCAGCAAACGCAGTGAACCTGTGCGTGAAGTTCCTCAATCATGATGCATTAGTAATTAGAAAGGTAAATTACGTGATGGGCGAGCAGTTCCTGTCATCTGATTTAAATTAGAAACTGAGTCGACTATTTATGGTTTGGTTTTGCAGCAGCCATTTCTTATTAATACGATGCCAGCTAGTGCGAAGTCTGGAACCAAAAATTTTCTGTAAACCGCTGTGAACTTCTCTATCTGTTTCTCAAGCAGTGACCGTACTTTCCGATATTTGAGATGAAATTTGCGGGGGGGTCCCGACCCTGGTAAATTTTTAGTTTTAGACTTTGCACTAGCTGGAGTGGTCGCTAAAAAAAAGTAGAATATCAACGCTCCAATCTAATAGGTTGTAAAGGGACCTACACAGAAGTCGAGCGTGAATCAAAGTATGAAAATATGGCACTTCCCCTGACTTGTTCTATAATTTTGTATAATGCAGTCTCGCTGACTCAAAAAATAAAATTGGTTTTAATACAGAGTGATGTGAAATAGAGTAAGAGCGGTGATAAATTCTGAGCCCAGTTATGAATTAGATGAAGACAATTTTCGTCTCGTCATAAGCTCAGAACAAAACAAACAATTCCTTCGTCCTACGCTCGTGACAAGACGAAAAACATCTTTCTCTAAGATGTAAAGTGTTTGTCACAAGCTTGGAACAAAGACAAAATCTAACTCGTCCTGTAGGATTCAAACACTTGAGATCCTGCGTTCGGTTATTTAACCGAGGTTCACAAAACCTTTTGAATTCAAATAAATATCATTTGACCTGCACATGAACTTCAAGCAAAGCACTGATCCTGGTAGGGGTGTTGTAACTGAAGCAATTTTAGAAAAGAAGCGCCCACGGGATTCGAACCCATGCCTCCCAGATACCGTTTGGGCGCTGTTTCAAAACTTATTGGTGAGACAGGGCATTAATCAAGTTCTTATGGGATACGCGTCCGACATTCAGCTGGAATCACGCATGCGCAAAACCAACTTGCTTTTAAAGAGCCCTTCTGCCCATAGTAAGTCAAAGCAACTATAGTGCTTTCATTGTACTGTCTTTCTTGTTCATGCCCCATTTGTTGTCATCGTTTTTTGTTAGCTCGCAATAGACGCCGTTGGAGCAGTCCTTAAACAGCAGAAAAGACCGCACGCTAAAATAGTGGTCAATCCTTACACTGTTGGTAAGCTTAGCTCAGTATATTTTGTAACCTTAGCAATAGCATGGCCAAAAAGAGCGACAGAATGCATCTAGTAACACCTAATTTTCTTAGTAATTTATTCAGAGGGTGCGGTGGAACCCCCTGTTCTAAAGACGTTTGGAGGATATTGAAAATGTGGTTCAGTGTTAGTGTCTGAGAAACTGCGCTCTCCTAACCAGTCAACTGATAACAAGTTAAGATTAATGCTGGTTTATATCTGATTTACTAATACAAGAGGCCGAATAATTTCGTTCAAGGAAAACGTCTTAATCGGTATAATTTTTTTTCCCTCTTCAGCTGGATTACCCGAGCCAACGACAACAGTTATTCAGCCAGGCGATCGGGAAGATAACAAGTGGTATAAATAACTTGCACATTATTTGTGTTAAGCTTGAAAGTATTTGAAGTTGGCATGGACTTTAGAATACAAAAAAGCATCTGTTTTGGTTGAACAAAACAGATGCATGTGATTGGTGGAACGGTGGTTCCAGTCTCCTTTACCAGTTACGAAGCCTAAAACAAAGAAAAAAAAACTAAGTAATCCCACAGTGTCTTCAAAATTATATAGATTGCTCCATGAAGGTTGATAAAATGTTGAACGGTTAAAAAAATCAATTCAGAATTGAGCTGTGCAGGAAATACCGTATTTCTTCGAAAAAGCGCACGGCCGCTAATTTGAAATCTCGGCTGAAAAGTAGGGGGTTGGGGCGCTTAATCGAGGTGGAGGAGGGGTGCTCATTAAGCTAGCTCAGTAGTAGGGCAAATATCAAAAGAAAGGATATCTCACATAGAGGAATTCTGCAAACTTGTTAAGATAGAAATAACTGGAGGAGAAAGAAAATTATTCTCCTGTAATGATTCCGCTGTAGTTAAACTCTAAAAAGTTATAGATAAAATGGTAATAAGCGAAGATTGTGAGGGAGGACGGGGGTGGGACGGTGGGGAGGAGGGAATGGTTGTTCGAGGGGGCGCTCGTTTTTTATTTAAGAAAATAGATCATGATCTATTATTATTCTCATCATCATCGCCATTATCATTTTTATTTTAATTACGTTTTATTTTTCTTATTCAGGCTGCAGTACTCGTCTGCTGTTGTCCCGAAAACAAAAAGTGAATGGGAAAGCTTTGTTTTCATAGACAAAACACACTGGGGTTACTATACTTGGCCAAAGTAAGTATTGCTAACTTTTGGGTCAACGGAGGGTTCGTAGGTGTCTTGGAAAACCTGAAAAGTCGTAGAATTTTATTTTGACATTTACCAGGACTGGAAAGTCCTGGAAAAAGACTACAGATCCTAGAAAGTCCTAGAGATCTGCTTAACTCAAGCAATAAAGATATCAGAATTTACGTTTTAAGAAACGCGCGTAGACCGAAAGGAGAATGGATTTTGCAATCTTGGGAATGAAAGGGGCTAAGGTGAAATATGCTGTCGTGGAAAAATCAATCTGAATCCTGGAGAAGTCCTCGAAAAGTCCTTGACATTTGTTGCTGAAAAAGGATACGAACCCTGATAACGATGATAAAACGTTTTTCCGTCATTGTTTTACGTTACAGGGCAGCTAATTTTCCTGCAGTTTTCATCAATTTCCCCGATAAGCTCACTCTAATGGGTTATTTCCGATAGAGTCTGAAACCTAGTTTTGGGGCCAAAGCGAGGCTTGGAGTAATAGAAGGAAACCTGAATGCAGATTTCGAACAACAGAACAATCACTGAAACGTTGCTGGTGCAACTCGCGACTAGACTCGCGCGGCTAAACATATCGGAAATGGGCCATTAAAAACTAGGTTTCTGGAAAAGATCATATACGACGTTAAAATGCGCCAAGGGCAAAAACATGGCACACGAGGTGCAGCCGAGTGTGTCGCTGATGTCCTCACCATCTTTCGACATCCCACATCCATTACAGAACAGACGCATGGCAACATCTATTTGTTTGACATAATAATAGTGATGTCATCTATACGTCTGTCCCCTAACAGATTAGAAGGAAGATGCAATTAAAACGGGTGTATGATTCAACTTACTGTATGAATTTGAAATGTTCAATGGCTCCTTTTTATATAGAAAACTGTTGACTTACCCGTCTGCAGAAAAGCAACCTCTTCTGGGGAGAACGCGAGATCAACTTTCAGAGGTAAACAACCACCGACAGAATTTTATCCTTTTTGTGTGTGTGTTGTTTATCCGTTCTTCCTTCGTTTGTTTTGGTTGTTTTTATCCTTATTTCTTCACGCGCACCACGCTCTCCCTTTTAGCCTTGAGTTTTCGTTAACAAACTACACCTTTTACCGCCGCCCATGACACCTTTTACCGCCGCCTATGACACCTTTTACCGCCGCCTATGACACCTTTTACAGCCGCCTATGACACCTTTTACCACCGCCTATGACTCCTTTTACCACCGCCTATGACTCCTTTTGCCACCGCCTATGACACCTCATACCACCGCCTATGACACCTCTTACCACCGCCTATGACATCTCTTACCACCGCCTATGACATCTCTTACCACCGCCTATGACACCTCTTACCACCGCCTATGACACCTTTTACAGCCGCCTATGACACCTTTTACAGCCGCCTATGACACCTTTTACAGCCGCCTATGACACCTTTTCCCTTTGGTTAAAAGGTAAAGTCAGATCGAAGTTACTCACTTGAATATTATTTTTTTTACGTTTCAGGAGGAACGGCATATATACGACTCATTTAGTCAAGAAGAATTTACGTCGAAATTTATTAATTTTCTGTCTTTAGAAGATAGAAAAGGAAAAGATAAATTCAACCTTCATCGTTTTATGTTATTTAAGGTTAGAAATGAAGCATAATTCTTAAATTGCGTGTCCGTAAGCTCTTTGTTTTCACTCTGTCAAAGAAAGAGACTTGTAAGCATTAGCAAGTTTTTTCTAATAATAGCCAGTAACAGGAACTTTGATAGTAAAGTGGACATAGCTAAATTGCTACTGAGTGAAATCCTGCAAGTGTGATCCTGTCTCAGTCTCTAAATAATCTTGTCACGCAAAGGGTTCTATAGAGAGTGTTGCGAGACGAAACCAGACAACAAATGCGAAGGAGACAGCCGACCTCCTTGAAAGCTTTTTGTGTGATTGCTAGTCAGTTTCAGTAGTAGCTACAGAGAAAGCTGCTACATGGAATGTTCCAAACAAACTCTAAGTTTCCTTTGTTGGATATTTCTGTGACATATACATATCTGTTGTATAACTGGCGGGAGATCCGTATTGGAGAATTTAAGACCAAAGGCATAGTTTTTTTCTCATACGGCCCACGCAGAAAGGTGGTTTGCTTCGTTCCGCTTTGCCGCGAATTGCGGTTAAATAATTCCGGACCGTGGTCCGTATTGAAAACGAACGCACGATTAACCAGTGAGATTCGAGGATTGAGTTTCCGGCCAGCAGAGATACTTCATAACCCTATAAAACTGTATTTTTTTTAACAGGGTCTCTTCAGAAACTTTGACGATGCATTTTTAGATTTAATAAAGCCTCACCTTGAACGACTTTGTATAGACTCGCAGGTAAGGCCTAATTTATTGTTTTTAAGTCGTTGCATTAATGTCGCATTAATGTTAATAAGAACTCTATAAATAAATTGTTTTTACTCTTTCCATAACATGTGAACCGTTTATTTGTTGATTTGCAGGAGAGTAGCCAACGTTGTGCTGTGGAGATCATCGCCGCTGTCATACGAGGATGCAGACACTGGAAATTTGAAACGGTATCTAACGACGTTTCTCTGTAAAGGAAAACTTAACAAGGTCCTTGGGTTGTCCTTAATTTCACTTAGCCCAATGTAGAGATTTATAAGTATTCATTCTAGACACAACTTTCTTTATGAGCGACATTTATTTTTGGTCAATATGATCGATTGTCGTCAAATTACGTTTACCCTTGTACCCTAAGAGTGACTAGCATCCAAACTTCCTCACAATATCACCCCTGAATCATATAGTAAGGTCAGTATAGGAAAGGAAATGATCACCAACCAAAGAAGCTCTCGATTGTTAAACAAATACTCTTTGTTAGCACGTAAGGTAATGTATAAAGAACGGTGTGGAGACTATGCATACTGATGTTAAGACGTTAGGGTTAATGAGGTGTACAAAATTGTCTTTGAACATGCAACAGTTGCGCGTCGTGCAACATATACTCTTACCTCGTCTTTTCCTGCCACTTTGTTTTCGTTTTTTTCCTCTTCTCATCGCTGTCTTATCAGGGGGAAGGAGTCGTCTCCGAGTACTGAATGACATTTTTTTGCTTTGATTATTATTCATTCGTAGTTGGAGAGCCTGTGGGACTTTTTAATTCCTCTTCTGAGAAAAGCCTTATCTGCCGTAAACGTCGAGACCCTAGAGGACTGGGGCACTTGTATGGCAACTGCTGTGGTGAGACTCTCCTATGAATAATCTACCATATGCGATATATTTAATGTATAAAGAGGTAAAATGAAAATCATATTAAGCGTAAAATCAGCATACTGCGCCGAAACATCTTATGCGTAGCAGTAGCAATGGTCACCCGAAGTAGCAAACCAGAAGGAGAAATTAACCACGTGACCGGCGTGGGCCATTCAGAATCAAGAATAAGTAATACTTTATTCATTGTCTATCTGATTGGCCCAGACCGTTACGTGGTAAGGTTTCTTCTTCTCTGATTGGCTACCTCGTCATTGGGAGAATATTGTTATTTGAAATTCATCACAATAATCTGTCTTGCTACAGGAGAATCAGGATCCGCGCCGAATTCATCGCTTTTTAGAAATGTTACTTGAAGACCCTTTGGATGATCAACGTGGTTCCTTCTCTGATTCAAGGTTAGCTGCTTTTTCTGATTCTTCTTTTGCTGTAGTGCATAACACCCATTGCGTGTTTGCCCGTGCACCAGTCGCACGAACCTCTCGCTGGGTCACCCTCTCCCATTCATCAAGTCAAGTGTTTTTTGTTTCCTTTAAGCTTCTCGTTTTTAAAGTATTACATGTGACTTGTGTGTGTGTTTCTGTTCCTTTTCAGTCGTTTGTACTTTATCCAAGGAGCGCTGTTTCAGCAGGAGTGGCGTGTTCCTGATTTATTGCACCGCCTGATGGGTGTATTAGAGCGTCATCTAAACCATCCGTACAAAAACGTGCGTGATCGACTGGGAAGGTTAGTATGCTAGAGTTTTTTTGAAAGCTTTGGACATGGTAGGGCCTTTGGAAAATAATGGCAGACAGCAATCACACGGAGATTATCACTCAATTCCTCAAACTGGAAAAGCCTGCGCACTCGATATTCGAGGTCTTACTCGCCTCCAGGCTTTGCTACCCACATAACCTGCCTCGGAAGGTTATAATACAAACCCAATATGCCATATCAAAATTAGACTGGGAAATGATTCTTACTTGTTGTACACTAACAGTTGACTCAGGCTGCGAAAGTGAAGAAATTGCTGATCCACCCTCCGTCCAGTTAGTCGTGCTTGATATCTTCCACCCAATGGTTCATTCTCTATCTTCTTTGCACAGCATACATTCGTAATGCTATACTAGGAAATAACCTTTTATTTACTGATTTATTGTCTTGTTCGCAGTGTTCTGTGCAGTGCTTTGATGTACGACCTCAAGTTACGTAGCACCGCACCTACCCGCTCTCCAAACAGGAAGCAATTTGTGAGCAAGATACTTCCGCAACTGACGGGACTACAAGAATTAGCGCGCGAGAAGGAAATCATAAGCAGAAGTGATGTCAGTGTGACAAATTCGGAGGAGACTGGAAGAGAGAAAGTAAAAGATGGGTCACGTGAAAGTGATGAGAGAAAGGAAGCCATCAAACGACTAAAGACAAGTAAGATCTTACGACTTTTGATCGTAGACTTCCTCTGTATTTTTGTATTTTCTTATTGTTATTATCCCACTTTTTTCTTCCTCTTTTTTTCCTCTTCTTCCTCTTTTTTTATTATTATTAGTAATAGTAGTAGTATTTTTACTATGATTATTATAATTATTATTATTACTGTTATATTACTTTCTCTCTTCCCTGTTTTCGCTGGTTTTCTCTTTAGCTGGTAACATTTTGTTTGTTTGTTCTTTTTTTTACTTTAATGAATGACTACGTATATATTTTTTTTTAATTGTTTTTTTTTTCAGTGACAAACTGGCTTTTATCACACGCTGTTCGCTCATTAAACAGTTGCCCTGAGGAATTCTTCGATCTTCTTCCTGTGGTGAGCAATCTTAATATCAACAACATTCCCATTCAAGTTGTCAAGTAAAAGAATATTTGTTACGAGCTGAAAGAAAAGGATGTGGTTAGCTGGGTGCTAGTGTTGACTAACGTGCATTTAGGAAATGCTCTTTGAACCCGAAAAGACGGTAGAACTAAGGTTTGCATCCCTTTTTGAAAGATCCATCAGAAAATAGAAAGATATCTCTCTTTCAAAAGAAGTGCGCACATTTGCACAAAACTATAATAAAGACTAAAGGCAGAAAGTAAAAGTTATAAACTGACATTTGTCTGGTGAGTCAACCCTTTAACCTCTTAGAGTGACTGGATTCTAATTTCTTCTTACAGTAACACCCTTGAGGCAAATGTAAAGATCATGAGAATAACGGACTTGATCCCAAAAATAAGAAGCCAATGAGTACCACACAAATTCCCTTGTCAGTACCTTTAGAAATGAGAAGACAACAGTGTGAAGAGTATTAATACTGATGTTAGGGTGTGAACGGTTAAATGAAGCATTTTGTCCCTCGTGTGTATGCTTTAAATTAACTGAGTACATTCTTCATGTGTTTGTAACAGATCATTCTTTTTGACTCTCAAGAAGACGACCCCGAACTTCAACTCTATTGTCACAGGGTAAGTGTAACCTTTAAACTCTCAGATGAGGTCAACGTGTAACTTCTCCTTACATTGTCGATACATTATCCATTAGACAGGGAATGAGAATAGAAAACGTATCAGAAAGAAGGTAGTAACTTTGATATAACTTCAAACTCTGAGCCTCTTAGCAAGGACGTGTATGGCATCAAAACAGAAAACAAGGAAAGGCTAACATGAAAGATGGAAACGTCTTGTCGCAGTGTGCGTGTACAGTCTCTTTGCGAGCGACTCAAATAGACTCGGTCAATATTGCTTCTTGATTTCTTTTTTCCGCACTAAATTTGTCTGAATCTCTTTTTCCCGTAGACCATTTCCTACTTATCTCAAATGGAGCTTCCATTTAGTTTGATTCCTGTGGCGTTACAGACAGTCAAACAGGTAGGTTACACTTTACAATGTCTCTGTTACAAAATTATTTTCATTTCTCACAGAACGAGAGAGAAAACAAATTTCGTAATTTTAAACGATCTTATAGTGTTCTTTCTTATTTATCGCCTGTTCAAAAGTACTGAAGAACAATCCTAGGTTTTTCAAGAAAGAGGAATTATGGGTAGGGCCACGCGTTTCTGCGCGTGACCAAGGGACATAAAATAACTATTCTAAAGCGTTGCCTGTTGTGATAGGCAGCGAGCAACGAAAAGAGGAAATGACTAAAAACCCTTTGCAGGGGCTTTCATGACAGATCTCTTCCCAAATCAAGGTGAAAAGACACAAGTGAACAGAAGGTTCAAACTTCTGTAAGAGAAACAATGAAATTAGCTTCTAAATGGTGAAATGAGGCTCTTTGCTCGTCCCTGGATCTGTTCTAAAATGTTTTAACATTTTAACGCTATTTAGTTCATATTGTGTCCTTTAAGGTTGGAATGTTTCTTACGGTATTTCGTTTCCTTTTACAGATCGCTAGCAATAACTTGTGGCACCCCAGGCGAAGCATTTTGGAATATCTACAAGTGATGATTTTCGCCAACCTCTTTGCTATCGCTAGTAACGCGAAGTTCGTTTCAGATGTTAAGGAGCTGGTACTTAGTCTCCTAGCGGATGAGCAACTAGAAGTAAGCGAGTTCTGGTGTAATTCTGACGCGTTCAGTGTCAGTTCTGAGCGGCTACAGCTTTTTGTAATCAGTAGCAAAACCGAGAAACTTATTGGTTCCCTAAAGAGAATCCTTAGAAAGCGTTTTGTGTTTGGCGTGTAGATGGTGATGTGCTGTTTAAACTAAAATTTTTCCACTCTCAGGTTCGTGAGACGGCAGCAGCAACTTTCAGCGGTCTCGTTCATTATGGCTTCTTTGAACTTAACGACGAACTCCAGGTGAGGTCAATTTGACCCCGATTTTGAAGAACGCTTATGAGTGCTTAATTACAGAGGAACTCGTCTTACGACCATCGCATTACACGAAACTTTTTCTTCCTTCAAATGAACTGAAAGGCTAACCCTTTACATATTTGCAAGACTTGACTCTGATGATGACTTTTATTCTTTATTTATTATTTATTTATTATTATTATAATGTCAAAACTCTAATCACTGTCATCGACCACAGACTTTTTCAGGACTACTCAACTGCACGACGCTACTATAGAATCTATTATTGGCCCATATGTGCTACCTTAACCCTGATCGTCTAGTCATGGCGACTTGGCTTCGATGAAAGTTATTGTTAATTTGGGATCTCCAGATCATTATTCCAGCATTATAATTTAGCCTCGCTTCATTTGCCTTTTTTAATATAACTTTATGTAATATGTATTTTGATTTTGAATGGTAGACCCAAACCTCGCCGTTTTTGTTCGCCTTCTGTCCCCCTGACTCCCACTGACCGAGAGCTTGCCAATTTACCAAACTGATTTATTTGTTACAGAAACAATTTACTAACATGGCGAACACTAAGCTGAAGAAAAGGAAGAAAGGTGTGGTTGGTGCAAACGGACTCAATTATGACGCAGGTACAATTAAAGAACAAATTATCATATTCTGTTTCATCTCCTTTCAACGATGATGGTTTCGACTGTTTTTCCTTATTGATTAACGCGACTCAACCCTATGTGTAAATGTGTTAAGACGTCAACTTTTTCCTCAACAATACGTGGAAAGGTTTATTTTTAGATGAACATCGTAAAACTGAGGATATGACAAGTGCAGCAGCCGACCACTGAAACTCCAAAGAACGAAAACATGAAATGAGATCGCGGAGCATCATGGTGGAATACTACTCACGATTACTTTCCTACGACCACGTTCATCCCTTACTTGGTTCGTCTGTAGGTAGAGGAATCTTGAAATAATTCCTTTTCTGTTGTGTGATTTTGTCTTTAGCCCTGATCCATCGTCACGCTGGGGTGTTGGGGCTAGCTAGTTGTGTCCAGGCCTTCCCGTACGATGTACCGTCCTGGATGCCGCAAATCCTGTTGGACCTGGGTGATCATCTACATGACCCACATCCGATACAGGTGGGGCTAGAAATGGAAAACTTGATTACAGTATTTGGAGCTGGTTAGAAATAGAAACTAACGTACAAATCATTATTTAATTTAAAACTTATGAGTTTGCTTTCAGTCTGCTGTATTTGAAGTTGTGCGATAGGATCCTAGACCTGTCGGTGAAAGTAATGCTACTGAGAAGAACTTTCATCTATCACTATCCACTATTGGAAGTTAGGTATCGAGTGGTAATTTTTCTTTTGTTACCACTTATTTCGCTCCGCAGTGTGTATAATCGAAGCCACATAGTGATTTGAACAAAACTTATCGATCGTTTCGTGCTTTTTTCGCTCTCAGGCCACTGTCAAAAAAGTCATGTCGGACTTCCGTCGCACCCATCACGACAACTGGCAAGAACATAAACAGAAATTCACTGAAGATCAGCTGCTGGTGTTGACAGATCTACTGGTGTCCCCGTGTTATTACGCATAAACATCGAGGAACAATTTCTCCTTCAGACCTCTGATTTATTCCACTCTTAACCATCCAACGCTTATCTTTTAGCGCCGCCTTGACTATTACTGTTAACTATTTTTGAGATTAATCCGACGTAATCACATGTTACTTACGTGGTCCTGTAGAATGGATCATATTTGTGCCCAACGCAGCATCTCGTCGCGGAGAAAGAAGCTGCGTGACTTGTCACGCTAGTCACGCTAGTCACGCTATAGAGCTAGACAGGCTGTTTAGAATGAGAAAGCCTCTTGCTCTTTGAAGAAGAACATGAAAGAGGAATCCTTCCATGTGGAATAATCTACGAATTATAAATTTCAGGAGGTGTAATCTTCTGGTAGAAGTTTTATTACATGACACTTCGTTTACAGTACTTATCGATATCGTTTCATGAACTTGGAAATCGAACAGGTTAGCTGTGCTACTCATGCTTAAATAAATGGGGAGGGGGAGGGGAGGGGGGTCTAGCTTGAAATTAAGTATGAGAAAGATTGAAGTCGTGGTGAAAACAACAAATGTGCTTTCAACCTTTCTTTATCGTAAATTTCAGCAGCTCTAAACTTTAAATTGTACCTTTTATATACCAGAGGATAAACTTATGCATGCTCAAATCTTTTGTAACCATATCGTCGTGAGGTTTTAATTGTCAGGAGCTAAATCATTTGAACTTCAGAGTTCGTGCTGTATTGATTTGTGGGTTTTTTTGTTTGGTGTTTTTTTTTTGTTTGTTTCCTTCACTCTCTTGATAAACTGTGCTGGGAAGAAAGACTGCTGCTCTTTCAATAAAAACAATAAACTATTTACATTCTCTCCTTTGAACTAGTGTCTATGAAAACTACTTTTAAGTGGGTAAAGAATTAAGTGTGCGAAACTGTTTTTTGTAGTCTTGTACTGGGCCGATGACAACGTACTCGACATGCCTGGTGTCATTTCTGTTCGTCTCCTAAAATAAGGGAAGATGGATGGAAACTCGCCCCTCAGTGTTGTAGATATTTGACTCCCTGAAACCCAGGAAATGAAGAGATTTTAAGCAAAGCAGTGCCAGTCCTGATCTTGATAGGATCTACAGTCTTCGGGCTTGCATCCTTTTTAGACAGCAATCACCGTGAAAATTGGCATTTGAACATCTGATCCTTCACTCTCTCAATGAACCATGCTAGGAAGTAAGACGGCTCCTCTTTCAATAAAAGCAATAAACTATTTACAGTCTCTCCTTTGAACTAGTGTCTATGAAAACTACTTTTAAGTAGGTAAAGAATTAAGCGGTGTGCGAAAATGTTTTTTGTGACAAGGATAATCTTTTACTAGACCGATGACAGCGTGCTTGACATGCCTGGTGTCATTTCCTTTCGTCCTCTAAAATAAAGGAAGATGCGTGGAAACTCGCCTCTCAAAGTTCGTGCTGTATTGATTTGTTAGTTTTTTTGTTTCGTGGTTTTTTTTTTGTTTGTTTGTTTCCTTCACTTTCGATGAACTGTGCTGGAAAGACTGCTGCTCTTTCAATAAAAACAATAAACTATTTACAGTCTCTCCTTTGAACTAGTGTCGATGAAAACTACTTTTAAGTGGGTAAAGAATTAAGCGGTGTGCGAAAATGTTTTTTGGTGACATGGATAGTCTTGTACTAGACCGATGACAGCGTACTTGACATGCTTGGTGTCATTTCCGTTCGTCCTCTAAAATAAAAGAAGATGCGTGGAAACTCGCCCCTCAGTGTTGTAGATATTTAACTCCCTGAAACCCACGAAATGAAGAGCACAGCAATGCTAGTCCTGATCTTGATAGGATCTACAGTCTTCGGGCTTGACATCCTTTTTAGTCGGCAATCATCGCGGTAAAAATTGGCATTTAACATCACGAAAATAAGCTCAGTCTCCATCATTAGCGAATAAATCTCAAGTTTTTAAGGTCTTTGCCACACCAATAATGGTGAAGTTCAAGGTCTTTTTAACGTACCTGCCTACAACAAACTGCAAATGTTACTTTTTACTTTACTTTGCAGTGAAGAGTCTCTGTAAATTATATTCAAGTTGTGGTAACTTGTCGCCACTTTCATATGCCCTTCGCCGTACACTTTTTGTCGTATCTTAAGTGCCATCACGTGGCACTGTTTAGCTTGAACGTACTCTCCAAGGTTGCGGTAAACATTTCCCAGGTTGTTGTAGCTTCCTGCAACGTCAGCGTGCTCCTCGCCGTATATCTTTTTTCTTATTTTCAGTGCCTCCTTGTGATATGCCATTGCTCGATCGTATTGTTGAAGATCATTGTGAACATTCCCCAAGTTATTGTAAGTTCTTGCTGTATCTGCATGTTCTTCTCCGTAAATCTTCTGTGCTATAATCACTGCCTTTTCGTAGTATTCCTTTGCCTCATGATGCCGTCGAAGGTCACTGTAGACAACCCCCATGTTGTTATAGCTTGTTGCTAAGTTCGGATGTTCTTCCCCATAAATCTTTTTGGTGATGTTCAATGCCTTCTTGTAGTATACCTTAGCTTCACTGTAGTCTCCAAGCTTTCGAGAGACGTTCCCTAAGTTGTTGTAACAGCCTGCTACAGTGGCATGTTCTTTTCCATAAACAGCTATAGAAATGTTCGTGGATTCTTCAAGAAACAACAACGACAATTCGTACTGGCACTGCAGTGTTAGAACCCTACCGTGAACGGCTAGAATGTCTGCTTTCAACTTTTCAGTTTCTTTGGTGTTGCTCATGTACTCAATGAATGCACAGGCAGATGTAGAAAAGAGAATCGCGTCAGATGGGTTGCTTAGATCACAACAGACAGTGGCGGTTATCGAAAGCCACGCAGCTATACTGGCTGACGTGTTAGAGGACGCTAATGTTTTCACTAAATCACCTCTATTTGCAAGCATAGTGGAGAGAACGTCATGCAGCGCTTTACAATGACTCGTCACTCGCCGCAGCTTTACACATGCATGACCGTTCGTGAATAGCTGGTCATACTCTGAGAGGAGGACCTGGTGCAAACTCCTTATTGCGTCTGGTAAAGCCTTTCGGGTCTCAGGATGAGTTATCCGAGTTGCTTTGAGTACTTCGTGCACTATTTGGTGCATCTTGAAGTACTCTGGAACTTTATCGTCTCCACGTAAGCAAGTGATCAGAGAGGATTTCAAAATCTTTGCTTTGATAAGCTCTTTCGTCGGTCTTTCATGAGTTTCTTTCGTGGATGTGGCTGTGCGAGCTTTGACGAAGCTGACAGCTGCTTCAATTGGAAGGGATTCCGAAGCACACAGAGAAAGAAGATAAAATGTCTGACGAAGAATTTCGTCGTTTTTCGAAGCATTGTTTAAAGCCATCTTTACAGCAGTGGTCATAGTTTTCGAGTAAGCTCCATTTTCCTTAGCAAGAGGTTCTTCAGTACCTTCACGTTCGCCTCGAGAAAATGTTTCCAAATAATCATGCCATGTGTAATTTGGAGAGCCATGTCTAACAACAACACAAACGTAAAATGCAGCAGCTGCTAAGGCGAGCGGCTGGAATTCAAGAACTTCAACAACCTCCTCCGCCCGCTTATGGTTCGAAATTTGAGATACTTGCTTCAGCAGCTCCAGAGCGTCTTCGCTTTGCATTCCCACGCTTAGTGATTCATGGTAAGTTTGAGGGGCACTTGTTGGAATGGCACTGGTATCTTGGGTTGTGATTAGAATCTGGCCATGACCACACTCTTCGCTAGCAGTCTGGGGGAGATAGCCCAAGACCATGGACAGGTCCTCCACGTTATCAGCGATAATCAACCATTTGAAGAATTGTCTCATTTTAGGAAAAATTAAACTTTTAAGATGATGGATTGTTTCCTTGGGACTGCTATCTTTCGAGGTTGCAAGCTGAGTCAAGGTGTACTCTGTAACTCCCAACTGTTTAGCTAGAGTGATGTAAGAATCCACAAGAGTCTCCAGAGTTTCTGCATTCACGGTTGCCACGAATGTTAGACCGTCACTCTCATCTGATGATGTTCTGAAGAATTCTTGTCCAATCTGACGAGCAATTTGACTTTTCCCACAACCAGGACTGCCTGATAAGTAGACTGTACTAACCACGCCTTTGCATCCATCTTCAAGCTTCTGCATTTGGGTTAAAATTCTTGAAACATCATTTGTACGTTTGACTATTTGATGAGAAGGCTTGAAAGGTAGGTGACAGAAAGATACGGCTCTGGAATTTATCTCGTCAGAAAGACATTGGATCTGTTCTTGTTCTCGTAGTATGGTGTCTTCTGCCTGCTGTAAATCAAACGTGAGCTTTCGAACCTGTTCTTCTGAGGCATGAAAATTCGACTTTGCTCTCTTTAATTCTTCTTGAAGGTTATTAAGTAAAGCCATAAGACGATTTACTTCAGAAGTAGGAAAGCTCGTTTGATTTTTGACCTCTTCAATATCACTGATTGGAAGACCCATGGAGCTGAAATCAACCAAAACTCTTCCAATGCTATTGTGAAATTCGGCATCTGTAAATTTGGCCTCGGTAATATGGGCAATGTAATTCCTGAATTCACGAAGATCATTTACATTTGTCCTTACTAACCTGCTTAAGGTTGTCCCAATACTATCTGAGAACAGGATGGCAAAAAAAAAACAGCTACAGTCCCACTCTGCGGTGTTACCATTTTTGATCGTTGTCAGTAATCGCGCATTCTTTGAACGACTTTTCTTTGATTCGCTGTTGAAAAAATCGCTACCATTCTGTGTTGTGTCTTTCCATTCTCCAAAGCTTCCTTTGTAACGGATATCCCATTCTGATTTGAACACGCTTCGGAGACTTTTTGGAATCAAGTCAAATACGATGTAACAAATTCGGAAAAAGTTCAACTGTTCTACAGTGTACTCCATCGTGACTGAATTTCTGTGGGGAAAAATCAAATGCACCAAGTTGAAAAAATGCTGACGCGAAAAAATCATTAGCCTGGGATCTAGAGGAAGACCGTTTACTTTGGTGAGTGAGGATGACTTCTTCGTTAAACATTACTATGTAATGACAAGATTTATCACATAATATCAGTAAAAGCAGTTTTCCTTTGATCCCAAACAAAGTTTTTAGTCGAATCGTTCACGGCTTTGTTTTGTTTGTTTGTTTTCTTTTTATGTGACAGAATTTTTTTATCATCATGAAGTTGCAAAGTCCACTTTTAATACGTATGATCTTCCAGCGACCTCCTCTCTTTAACAATCACCTCTTTTTTAGGGGAATTGTGTTTTACAATTGCTCTTTTTCCAAACTCTCTGCTATGTTTCTACATGTTTTTTGAAATAAAGTTGCTGTCCGAACAACCCAAAAAAGAATGTGTCATTACACCTCTCCCTCCGTGTGAGTTTTGACTATTGAAAAAAAAAACAAATACATTTGTTTAATGCTGTAACCAAATACAGCTGGCGTAAAAAACAGAATTATCCTTGTTACTTTTCTCTTTTCTTTCTTTTCTTCTATTTTTTTGGAGGTGGAGGTTGAAATTAGAAGGTTGTTTCGAAATTTAATTAGAAGGTTGAGCTAATTCTTTCGCTTTGCCAAACTAGGCGAAAAGTCATTTTGAAGCAAATCTTTAGTGCAACCTTTATCAGTAGGCAATAATTTCAGAAAACCGTCTTTTGTGCCAACCACAGATTATACAAATCTTCGACATCTTCAATCTTCAACTTGCTAAGATTTATCCTTCCTCGCAGCAGGCGTGACTACTCGTGACTTCTTCCTACAGTCACGCAGATGGTGAATCAATATTTCCTATTTACAGCAGATTTCCCTCTCATCCGGGCCAAGAAAAGCACTGCATTTTCAAATTATAAATAGATCGCTAATTTCCTCTATCTTAATACGATCCAGCCTTGTACGATATAGGATAAATTTTGTTCAGTCTCACTGAAGAAAATGGTAACGTCATTGACAGGAAGAATGAAGTGCGTTGGTCATACATACATACATAAATTCACTCATTTTAGAGGCATTTAGGTTGATTTTGTGCACTTTAAACGAGCGATACCGACAGTCTTTTGATAAAGAGCCCACGGTCCCTGTCTTTCTTGAAAACAACTTAAATTTCTCTGTGATGACCCTTACGCGAACTTAATAGTTCATATAATTTGTTTGTCGCATTCGTTTTAGAGATCCTAAAATCAGTGCCCATAAACAATAGTACAGCGGCACTGAAGCTGTAAAAACAACTAGGAAGAAATTTTGGAACACTATGTACGTCTGGGGGACTAATCCCAAATGAAAACTCCGTCGGTGACACCATATACTACAACTGAATTAATCAAAGACATCTGACACATTTTCCATGTATTCGTCTGAACACAATAACTGTTTTTAAATTCATTCACTCAGGGGTAACCCTTTCTATTCATACTTACTTTAAACGGTTCCGGTAAACATTTCGTATCTCTTTGAGTATCGATCCAAAAAGGAGAGTGTCGGGCAAAGACAGCACGAAGATCGAAAGTAAAGGTTTTAAAATTGTGCTGCTTCAGCGTCATACGATATCCTGTATTTCATTTATTCCAGTGGCGTGCGAAAGGTTACGGAAGGAGTACTTACTTACCGGCTTTATTACTCTGAAAATTTCCTATGGGGGTAGGGGCCCCATTATGACAACCAATGACTTTTTAAATGTGGAAAGGCTGAGCTATTTTGGGGAAGTAATTGGATGGTTTCATGCGGTAATCAATCAAATGAAAAGCCCAAGTTTTTTTTTGAATCGGGTTTTTCCCTTTGTCCATCGTCACGCTAGCTATATTTAGTATAGTTATCGATAATAGCCTTAAACTATAAGCCTTTTCATGATTTAAGTGTTTGATGGGGATAGTTCCCGGCTATTTTAGAAACTTAAAATTGGGTGAAGTATTCACCTATTTTTACATTGAGGCGTATTTTTCCTTCACAAAAGGTTCACTTGTGAACCAAATTTCGCTCATCCAAGGGGCAACATTAAAGTGATAAACCGCTGGAGGGTTGAGAATATGTAGAGGAAGTGGGAAAAAGATTTCTGGGATCTGTTTGCCAGATCAGATGTCCAAGAGATGAAGAGAGAGTACTATTGTAAAACGACATTTTATAACCACACTTATTGCTATCTCTAATCTGATTGACTAAACTTTTGCTACTCAGTAAAGTTGTCTGGTACATCCCACGCCACTACTGACGTGTGGACGTCTTGTATTCTGCCGCATATATCTTTATTGATATCTGACGGGTTATACCAGCAACTAAACTACTCGCTACATCTAGTAACAAACTCGGCTTTTATAAGTGCGGTTGAGGATCTAGAACGTTCCGTACCATTGCAATAGATTCTATTTATATATTGATTCAGGGATGACTCAGCATGACACAGCTACTTCTAGAACATTCTTGAAGGTCACACTACAACTACCACCGGATTATCACGCGATCGCGAGCGCCATGCCTCGGCATAAATGAAGATATTTCGGGCCATGTTAGCTTACATCCTGCCCCATTTCTGCGCCACAACTATTTTTTATCTTTCCGCCAATTTCATGTCAAAAACAACCTGGGTGGGCGTTGAAGAAAAGCTCGACAAGTGAGCAGTGTTTTTGCATCATAGCCGGCCTTTAAAGTAAGTAAGGAAAAAAATATCTTGAAATTCTTTACAGGCTCGTTATGTTCTGAGAAATAAGTCCTGGTTTTTCAAATTTGTCCCTTTTGTAGTTCGCGTAATACTCGAGTATCCATTATCGTCTTTACATACATGAATTTTCTATTTTTAGAATGGACTTCCCGTCCCTGAGGTATTATTAGAAACCAATGGAATTGAAAACAACTCCCTTGTTGTCAGAGGTATACGGGGAGATGAGCGTTTAGATAAACAGATCACTCTTGAACGGACTATCTTTATCGATCTCTTTTAGATTGAGTAAACTCCAGACATTCTTATTTTTCATCTACGTCTCTCCCCGTAAAGGAAAGAGTGTAGCATACTTTTTTCAACTTTACGTCACGTCGGTCCACCCGAAGTGGTGATAATGGTGAGATGCAATGGAAGCCATACGGCATTAAATGCCTTCAATGCGGTTCAATTGTGCTCATCTTATCTTCAAACATGCCACAAACATGCAGAATTTACCTGCATACAATAAAGGAGTCATTCACATGCCAGGCGAACGTATTTGACAGAATTTATTCGGGCTCGAGTTACAGGAGTGAAGATGCTATTTGTTTTTTGCTTTGTTTCTGCTGTTTTTTTTTTTGTGGTTTTGCATTTGTTATGTTTTGGTCTTTTAGATCGAGCCTGAGAGAGAAACCCCAAATGAATGACCACTCCCCAAAACACGTTTATTGAAACAAAACCATCTCAATAATTTAGTCGTGCACTCAACAATTAACAAGGATAAAGTGTCCATATTCCAAAAGGATAATACTAAAAGTGTTAATCATTTGTTCCTTCGTGTTTTCAGCGATACCGTACCATACAAAAATTCTTATCACTTAAAAAAAATGAAAAGGATTTCGTTATCAGCTCTTTGACCTCTTTACATCTAAGGTTTGTCTTTATAAAAAAAAAATGCTACTGAGCTTCATGTGCAGGAGAGTCCATGGTTTTTCCACTAATTTTTCATTTTACGTTGACAAAATACGCTTAGGCTTTTAGCAGGGGCGTAGCTTGGATTTTTCTACGGGGGGGGGGGGTGGGGGGAAGTAACATTGTAATACCCAAACTACCCACCTAAAAGTTAACTTCTTCGTGCTATTTGCCACCTGAATTATGAGGTTTGAATGTCGTTATATTTAAGAGCACTCCAGAACTTCACCCATGTTCTGTGCATGTTCCAGAGGGCAGACTCACCCATACCATGCATACACATCAACACAGGTTTCACCGCTATTGTCTACCTCTCCGAAGTCTATCCAATCCTGTCCGTACCATATCTGCATCTCTTGGTTGCTCGAGACAGACAATGGATTGACGAGGTTGCGAAAAACCAGCTCAGTTGAATTATGATGATATCCAGGAAGATTGTAAAAGTGCTCTCTTTTATTATAATAAACGAAAACAAAAGCTTTCAAGTCTTCGGTAGGGGGCAGAATGGCCTTCTTATTGGCATCTGTGATGATCGTCATCAGAGTTTCTCCATATTCTGGGTGGATGCAGCCCCAGTAGGATGAAATAGTAGAACTGCTGCAGCGCACCGACCCTGACCTGTGAATAAGCTTCATTGTCTTCACATGTCCACTCTTTGTCATTTTGAAGGAACCATATTGGTCATCTTTGGCTCCAAAGCAGATAGGCTCTTTGCCATTTATCTTCTGCCAACTCTCTGTTGAAAAACAATACGATACACCTACTATTTAAGAAATAGAGAAATCTTGACTGTGCTCTGTTCTGTTGTAAAGCACGCAGGAAGTGGCTAAAGCACTAAGGAAGAGGAGGGAGAAACACGAGACATAGTCGAGTGTTTCTCCACACTTTTTGAGTGCTCTAGCCACTTCGTAAGTGACTAGAGAAATAACTCGGAAAGGACATCAGAGCAAGCTCTTAACTGTTTACTCGAAGGGCGGCCGAGATAATTTCTCAGGCTTGCTTCACTGCGATGACCGGAGATCGCCATGATCAGCTAGCCGCGATGGACCTCTGCATGATCGTAGTCGCTCTTACACCGTCATGACTAGTATATATTTTTTGCTCTGTTTTATTTTTGAACACGAAACTATACATACTACACGAGTGTTAGCTGTGTTTGTTTTTTGTCACCGTCCTTAATATCGTAACCAATAAAAATATTTGAAAGGCAAAAACCAACAAAATAGCGCCAAATATGTAACTTTGATAAAAGGCTGTTGCAAATAAGTCATAAGCAGTAACTCTATAAATTGTGTCTTTCGGCTTTTATCCAAAACTAATATCTCAATGGCGTACAATTTTCTATAAACGAGAAAATAATACTTACCAGTGACATTTTTTCTTTTCCTTCACAAGTTTACCTTTCAATAGCACCACTAAAATTAGCACACTGTTACCTTTTTTTTATTATTATTATTCTTGTTTTTTTATGTTGCAGCAACTCTGTGACTATTTCATTCTTTTCATGAAGTCAAAACTAAAGAAATATGGTGACACCAACAGGATTCAGTTTCATGATGAACTCGGTCCAAATTAAATGACTTACCATCGCAGTAAGCCTCGATGACCCCTCCAAAACCATCAGAGTAAATCCAGTATTTCCCATTGGCCATCTCGTCTCCCTCACTCACTTTGATCTCACCACACGTTGCTGCTGGAAGGTCCTTGATGGATCCGAGAGGGACTGGGCCGAGAAAAAAACCCAAAACTATGTAAAAGTGACGATAACGACCAATCTCTTTTAGCCTGAGTAGGATGCTGATTCTACTTGTCATGCGCACGTTAAGACAGGAAGTAGTAAAAACATTTCCGGCGGGGATATTCTTTTACCTATGGTAGGTTGTACCTACAGCAATTAGCGAGTGCAACCCTAAAGGTCCTGGTAAGGTCTTTTAAAAGTCGCTCGTGTCTTTTAGGGGTATCAAGATAGCTTATGAGATAGCTTATTTTCTATTCCACAAGCATATTAGAGAGACGGAAAGTAACAAAACTATTACCTTAGGAGAATTTTTTTAGGTAGTATCGCTTCCGTAAAACTCATCCCTGGCCGGCTTGAAGAAGTTTACCACAGTTAGACGAAACGCGTCGGAGAATAAAGAAGTTTTACAACTACGTTCGTAGAGTGCTTCTCACTAGCTTAGTTTCAAAATTTTTAAAAAAAATTTTTTTTAAAAAAGCTGTATTGAGATAATATCAGAAAGCTACCAGGTTTTGAACAGTATGAATTAATGAGTCGTAACTTCTTGGCTTAAAAAGATCTTTAAACCAAAGTAGCATCAAACCATGTCTGACTGTCCACCTAGTTGCCTTTTGAACTTTATTATATCAGGTTTTGAAGAATTTATAGCTCAGTGACAAAGTTCATTATCAGTGCAGTTGTGAGGCAAAAGCCTACCTCTATTTTGAGAACGTTTCATGTAAAATTTTTTCCAGTCTGGCGCAAAATCTTCTGGTCTTGCCTCCTTTGTACGATTGTTCAGTTCACAGATATTTTGACCAATGACAAAGTTGTAGCTCTGACACCTGATTTCTTTTTCGCACCACAGATAGCACTCCTCAGGGAATCCAACCCGTAATGTTTTAAAGGTGTGACCTCTGAGGAACATTCTTCCGATGGAGTGTTCATTTTCATGACACTGGCCAGTGGCGTTAATGACATAAATCCAGAACATCACAAACATGAATGTCAGCCAGAACTCTGGACTCATTCTGCTTTGAATGCTGTTCTTTCCTAAGAAATCTGTCTACAAATCATAAAGAATTGGATGGATGCACTTGAGAAGTTTGGAGGACACGAGAGAACCGTAAAAGTTAAAGTTAAGCTTATTGAGTGCGATTTCTCTGGGTCCTCGGGAAAAATTGTAGAGTGAAAACTAAAGACGCGAAAATCCACACAACGCTGCGCAACTGATTTTCCGACCGCATGGAACATTCAACCATGATCTATTACACCCAGAAAACTTTTAATTTTTCGCTTCTGAGTGGCAAATCTAGCAATTGTTTGAATGGAGCTTTTGCCTGGAAATATTTCTTTCTTCGCTTAGCACGCGTGTTATTTGGTAGACCCGACATACGTTCGAACCGACTTTGAAATCTGCTGATCCTTAAGCATTTTCTGCGTGGTTTTTTCTAAAAACTTCGATTTCTGAATACATTCTAATCAAAACTATCACCTTTTTTTTCTTTTGGGTATAGTTTCTTCAACAGTTCTTAATTCAATAGAGCTTGTTTGACTAAAAGACGACTTATTTTAGAGATATTGCGCACTGCCTTTGACAATTATTTTGCACGAGGAATAACAACATTTAAACACCGGCATAATGATGTCATAAACAAATTGGTTCATACGTCGTCATACTGAGCATTCATCGAGATATGAAGCACTTGGGAAGTTTGGAGGGCAATCAAGAAGCTAAAGTTTCTATCGGCTGCTCCTCAAGCATTTTTTCGAGCATCTTTCGTGCTCTCCAAACTTCCCACGCGCTTCATATCTCGATGAACACCCGCTGGCGTATGAACCAAACGTTATTAAAAACATGGTTAACATTTACCGGTGTTTATTTTTTAACCTTGTAAAATTTTTCCGTTTTTAGACAATGGCTTGAGTGCCAAATTCATCGCAGACCTCAGCAAAAACTAATTGAAACTTATAAATTTAGCTGGTCCTTTCTCAGGAAAATGGTGGTATGATCACTTTGCTGTTATTAAAGTTAGGAGACAGCCAATCGATTGAAAAGAAAATAAAGAAAATCTTCACTTAACCATACAAGCGGAATATGATGTTTTCCAAACACCAAAGTAGGTCATGAAATCGGGGTTAATATCCAACACTACAGCCCTCGAAATCAGATCGGATAAGTAATACATAGACACGCAAATGCTTTAACACTGCGGAATAGCTTCTTACAACAACAGCCTAAATCCGACTGTTTCCTACGTGTTTTGGCGTCATTTTAGTTCCTTTTTTAATAATTTAAGGCTTAAGAAATAAATTTGCACAATTGTATGTTTCCTGTATCTTTTGGCATCATATTACTTCCTTTTTAAACAATTCAGATTCATTCATAGAATTTTAAGGCTTAAGAAATCAGTTTTTCATGACTGTTTTCGCCAAGTTGGTATCGTTACAATTCCTTTTTCAATAATTCAGGTTCATTTTATTCTTCAAAACTTTTCTTTCAGTACATTCGAGTAGTCTAATTTTTTTCGGGAGTCATAAATCGCTCGGAAAACTTATTTTTGAGGAATTCTTGCTTAATAAGATAGAACATTTGGAAACTGGACACACTAAAGAGACTATGATTAAAAGTCCTATGAAACATTATGGTGAAAAGAAATGATTTCAGTTTACGTTCTAAATTCATAGGTTCGCGATAGTCATAGGTTCGTGGAAAGAAAAAACACGTCATTGTGAAGTTGACAAAATTCAGTACCTTTCTATAGACTATACTTCAATGAACAGCCACGATGAGACTATGTCGAATGTGTTCGAAGTGATGCCGACCAAGGAGGTTAGTTTCAAAAGATTTTCATCTGTGGCAAATTTCATCCACGATCGTAATAGGTTCTCTTCATTGAACACTTGATCGAAAAAACTTCCGTAACCCTAGTTGACCAATTATATGGAAAAGTTTAAAATGGCATTTTCCGGTAGTTTTAAAACGGCGTCAGTTCGTGATTGCCTTTTTGTTTACTACTTGAATAACGCGGTTTTAGGCTCTCTGAACGTTACGCCTAAACGATATTTGCATTCTTCCACTCATTTCATGGTACAAAGAAATCTTTTTTATCATGATTAAGTATTCTCAGTGGTAAAAAAGATGAAAAATGGAAGAACGATAAAGATTCCTACCTCACTCACAAAGAGAAGCCTTGATGATTCCTTGAAAATCTGCCGGATGACAATGGGGCCGATAATATTTAATAGTTCTTAGTGACTAGACAATATCGCGCCTGAATAACACATTAAATCAATTATCCTAGGACCTGTAAAGGTTCCGTTCGTCGACCAATCATATGGAAAAGTTTAAAATAGCATTCTTCGGTAGTTTTAAAGCAGCGTCAGTGCTTAATTGCAAAAGCTGAATAACATTTTAAATCAATTATCTTAGGGCCTGTAAGGCTCCACTCAACCAAATCCAACAGAAAACCGTAGTGAAGGCTTAAGTGTGTGGGGATTGGACGGGAAGTTGTCGTAAGCCGGTCCGGGAAAACCTTTAAATCCCCGCACTCGCACGAGTCTTTAGGATTTTCCAACAACAGAAGTTCTGTTATTGAAGTTTAATTAAAGAAGAAACAGGTATGAAGAAATGAGTCATGTCTTTCTTTAAACTGTGAATTCCTTGTCCTGACCCAAAATTAGATAGGAAAATATTTTAATCGTACAATCTCTTTGTTTGTAGTCCAGCGCGTTCCCCTCTTGTGTATATTATAGCGGCGTCCTCCTTAGGTTCAAACATAACTCAGTGATCATATGTTAAAATAGTTATTGATTGAGTTTGGGCAGTACCGACAGAAAACTCTTTGGCTCGTGGTCATTACGAACGGACCTCATGCCCAATATTTACCCGTCTGGCCCACCCTCTTAGATAACAAGTTCGTAGTTTGTTTTATAAATAAATTCTACCAATAACAGGAAGTTGACATCTAAAGGTTCTCGCAAATTTTGGCACCTTTATCAGTAAATTACATTATTTTATATTAATTAAGGAGAAGTTTGAGGTAAGTTTGCATGACTTTCACTTTTCCAATTAACTTTTCATTCGAGTAAAACTACATAAAGAACCCGAAGCTCGTTTCTGTGATTCAGTTAAAACTTTAAATTAATGAGTTATCAGCTATCAAGCTGTTTGGATACCGGTGATAAACTGGCAAGTCGTCAACAAGTTTGTGAACATTGGCTGTTCAATAAATAAAACATACTGGAGAAGTAATAAGAAGGAAGGTGCATTAGACGTCAACATATCCGAGGATTATTCTCTATCACTTCAACCCTAGAAATATAGAAATATATGAAATTTTCAGCTCTTTTTTCTCATTTCTCTCTCTTATTTTCAACTTAAAGACGCTTTTCAGGAAGGACAAATTCAAAAAGTAATAAAATTTAGGAAAGAGGAAAATGCGTCACCCTTATAGATATTTTGGACTCATCACTGTCGAGCTTTGCACTGGCAGCTCATGTGGAAGAATTTTGTGGCGCGTCCGTGATGCGCCCATGTCTACGTTTCGGCATGACTTAAAAATGTTGTTACGATCACTACCTCTACTGACGATGAATTATTATTGGAGTTCTTTGTTCGCTCTGATTACATCTCTTGATAGGAGATTTATTTAAATTCAATTCTAAAAAATTAACGACGCTGAATGCTCTGTTTACATTTCTAGACAGGGGATGTCTTTTATTCAAAGTAGTTAAATCTTACGTTAAATCTTTCTGCCAATGCTAAACTTTGTTATGGAGAACGTGCATTCCTTACACTTCATTTGTTTTATACTTCATTCACACCAAAACTTAAACATATTTTAAAGCTGTTTTGTTAAACACAGTTTAATTTCAATTTTTTTTCTTCATAGAAGCTGCTTGAACCATTGTTTGTTATCTTCAGATGTAGCCTATTGAAAATACAAGTCAGAAATTACTTGAATCGTTTGGAAAATTCAGTTTATCAGTTCTCTGTTTCCGATTTTCATTCAGTTAAATACGGTTTAACTATATATGTTTTTCTGGTGTGACTGTGGTACCAGAGGCGCCAGTGCTCGACTATAACTTTTTAACTAATTAGCCATTATATTACAAGATGGCGGCCTATCCGTAAACTACTGGGTCCCACTAGTGTCCTGTCCTTTTGAGTTCACAGACTAAACACAGATGAAGTTGCCGATCGCAAAATGCGAATTAGGTTTCTTTGGTTATTTCCCTCTGTCACGATCAACTAAAACTGATTTTTTCTTTATTTGTCTTTCCAAAACCTGTTTTACCTCGACTAGCCCAGTGGCTAGTTGTTCTGGAATTTTACGAGCACAGACCCATTTTTTACTAGCCCAGGCTTCTTTCTGTGATTCAATAAATTGCACGTTTTTCAACACAAATTTAGTCATAAAAGTCACAATTTCCTCAATTTGATTGGTTTAAAAAACTCACATTTTCCACTCATTCACTCGCCAAGTTCTTATCGGACAGTTCAATAAGCCAATCACATTCAAAATTGTAGTTTTAATCAACCAATCACGTTTAAAGTTGCAGATGCAGATGAGTCTTAACCTTACTCACATTTACCTGAACCTGGTATTCTGGAAATGTGGAGATATGGAAATCTGGAAACATGCAAATGATATTTCCACATTTCAACATTTCAACATTTCCAGACTACCAAGTTAAGATACGTGCGAGTAAGCTAATCACACATTTTCACGTTTCAAGGTTACTCTGAGGTGATTAATTTTATGTGCAGCACATTCCATTGTGATGGCGTGTTCTATGCTCTTCTACTCTGAGTAAAATCCCAAGGGGTTTTCCGTAATCGAGGATCTCATTGGGGTAAATCGTTAGCCGTGAAACTGCAGAGAAAAAAAAACAGCAGTTGGGCGTAAAAATTGACAAATTTTAACCGTTAGCTGTAAAAGGACCAAAATTCTAACCGTTTACCGTAAAAGCCATCACCACACCCTCCTAATCGAAAACAGACCTTACCAGCTCCTAAACCGACGACTGACAGACCTTCAAAGTCAGAAGTAGTCCGAGATATTGCTTACTTGAAGTGAATCTGACATTTCGAATCAAGAGGTCGTTTATGACACGAACAGAACTCTACACAATCACGTGGGGTTGGAAGGGTATGACCCCCCCAATTAGAAAAAGACTGCACTCGTATTCCAACATGAGGAAACCAGACATAACTGATTGTAACCATTTGCGAGGATTGCAGTGGCGGATCTTAGGGAGGGGCCGGGGGCCCGCCCACTTATTTTGGGTAAAAAAACAAACCACACTTGCTCAGAATTCAGGCATTTTAATGTAAAAAAATACAGACCACTTCTAAGTCTGTCCTATTTACATCGTGAAACCCATAAAATTGAAATTAATTATGATACAAAAAAAAGGTTCAGTGGTCTAAAAAATGAACATTAGACAGATCTGTGTACTGTCCATGGCATACAACATGGTTCACTTAAAAACTAAAGGAAATTTCATCTAAAATTAATCGCAGCATTAATTGCAAAGCCACCGCGGCGATTAAATAGCTTGCTGGTTGTTTAATTTGATTGTTAAACTGGCTGCATTATTGAAACACTACTTATAACTTTATGAAAGGTTCCCTAGAACGCTACTAGCATTAACTGAGACCACACATTTCTACCAAAATGAATACTTAATCTGATGTAAAATATGAAAAGGCCCTCTGAATCGGGACATGATTTTAGCTCGGAAAATATACTTCCCCTCAGAGGTTTCTTCTCAAATACATCAAAAGTGGCTTATGCTGCAGTCTAAAGCACTTAGTACACAAGTTCTAAAATCTTGAAAAACATAAAAAAACAGCAAGGAGTCTCATAATGAAACCTGGAAAATTTGTCACTTCTACCTTGCGTTTGTATCTCTTGCACTAAACTTCACCTGGAGGCTTCCTTCCAACTACAACAAAGCCATAATTTCTAGAGAGCTTCTCGTTTTGTTACATTAGAGTAGGTTTTTGCAAGCCTTGCTGTCATTTTGCTTCATATAGAGTAAACCAGCCAAGTTTTCATAATTCAAAATGACAAAAAATGGCTAATCTGGGATATAATGCACCCTTTGCAGTGCTTGAGCTGTTGTACTGCATGCATTTTGGTTACTTTTGCAGGCTAACACCCTCGTAATTAAAAAAAATATTATTTTCTATTCACCAGAAAGACAGCCATGTGATATGTTCATGAAACATTAGCTCTCGTAACTATTTCGCATGATGTCATTTCTTAAAGTAACTTCACAAAGCCTTAACCCTTAACTCCCAAGATCTTATTAGCAATTCTCCTTACTGTCTGCCATACAGTTCTTGTGATGTTACCTTGGAGAATTTGGTATTAGATCAACTTGTAGTCCCCTAATTGATATTTCTCTCTATTCTCATCACTTGTCTGCTTGAAATTGTATGGATAATGTAGTGAGAAATTCTGTCTTGGTCACTCATGGGAGTTGAAGGGTTAAATTAATACAATGGGCTAAATACTACAGTGAATCATCAGATTTTCCCAATTAACTCTTAACTCCCAAGATTTCATTAGTAATTCTCCTTACTGTCTGCCATACAGTTCTTGTGATGTTAGTTTGGAGAATTTGGTATTGGATCAACTTATAATCCCCTAATTGATATTTTCTTTACTCTTGTCATTTGTCTGCTTGATATTGCATTGATATAGTAAGGAGAAATTCTGTCTTGGTCACTCATGGGAGTTAAAGGGTTAACATTAATTCTCTTTCAGAAAAAGCAAATCCCTTGAGAAAACAAGACTTCAATTCTCCTAATCTAATGAAAGAAGAACCCAAAATGACATCAAAAAGAGATTTGGGTACCAGCCAAAAACTTCTTGATGAGATTTTTGACCAACAAATCTCACCTAAAGTCTTAAGACACCTAGACATTAATGAAGGTAAAAAAATGTATATTAACTGTTTTCATTTCTTTGGCCATCACTTTCAGTTCTACGCAGGCTTAAAAATTTTAAAGCAAGCCATACAACAACCAGATTGGTCAATATACATTGTGTAGAGGTATTTACATGTACGTGTCTTGAATAATTTTACAAATTGATTCTGAACTGTTGATTCTAAATGACATTCCATTGACTTATTATTCATTTTTGGTGAAATTTTTACTACAAAGATTGCATAGCACTAAAAATAACACTTTGATGCACTTTCACTGATAGCTCGGCACCCAGCTACATTGAAAGGTATGTTTGTTGCAGTTTGAATAATTTCAGGTTAAAATGACTTCACAAGAGTTTGACTCCTATTTCACTTTGTTTAATGAACATCAATAGTAATTTACCTAGAACATTAAATTTTTGGGAAAAAAAAAACTATTCAAACCAGCTTAAATCATTTTAACCTGAAATTCACTTTCCACAACAACCTCAGTGCATCTTTTCACTACTAACAACCATTACTGCTAATATGGCCACCTTCTAATTAAGACAAACTTTTTAGGTCCTAAAAAAGGAAGGTACTCCAGTCAATCCCACACTTAACAAACCTGTATTTGATTGATGACCACATTTTGGACATCCAACCGTAGCCATCATAGGAAGGTACAACTGTGAAAAACCAATTGCTTTGCTATAGCAAACCAAAGTCTGTAAGACTTGTTTCCAAGACTTGAGGGGGGACAAGTTACATTGTGAAAAAATCATAGAGACCAACATTCTGATGAGAAGTTTGCCTTGCTGGGAGAGAAATCCTTGTATTTCCTGTTTAGCTCTTCTTGGCTAGCAAACACTATGTCTGAAACTTTTCATCATGTCAGCAAGAGATGTAGAGTTTGCTGTGCTACGAATGAAAGAATGATTGAGAAGTTCAAAGGCAGAAGCTCTTTTCACTGGATCACGATCCAAAGTCCTTTCCAAAAATGACAGCATTCTAGGAGACATCTGCAAAACAAGAGAGAGAGATGCAAAATACTTAACCATGCATCTGTTGTGGTAATCAAGATCTGTTAAGAATCAATCAGAACATGTGTAGCATTCAGCTCATTATATGTTGATTGAATGTTTACAGTAACTGTGGCCTCAACTCTTCAATTATTGACAGTTAATACATCTTTTAGTAACACAGGCACTATCATTTTTATTAAAATTCATTAATATCCAACTTTCTAGTTATAGCCCACTCACCTCATTATTCATACTTGAGATTGGTGGATCCAAGTCTCGTAATTTCCTCATGGCCTGTAATGGCGGCTCACTAAAATAAGGAGGTTCTCCTTCAATCATCTCAAGAACCATAATCCCAAGAGACCAAATATCAGCCTTGTGGAAGGAAAAACAACAAAATCAAGGAAGTTTTAATATCCAAAATAAAACCAGAAATATAAAAAGAAAACTATATCATTACATTTCTACTTGAGGAAATAATTTAAAGATCTCAAGGAAACCATGACTTGAACAAAGGTTTATACTACATAAAAATATAATTTTTTTTCCAATTGCAAGGTTGTGATTTTTGTTCATTACATATATGTTAGGTGAAATTTAACTTTACAATAATAAATTAACTGAACTGTTGTCACAGTAATAATGAAGGTTATAAAATCTGAAAAATAAAAAATAAATTGTGGGAGTTTTTGCTATTTTCTTACCTCTGTGCCATATGGTTTTCTTGATATCACCTCTGGTGCCATCCAGTATGGAGTGCCAACAAGAGACTTTCTTCTAGGCATATCATCAGTGACTTGTGCACAAAAACCAAAGTCAGAGAGCTTTACCTATAAAATAAATAGTAAAAAAAAAAAAAATGAATAAAAAATTGTCATGTTTGACTTCATGTAAAATAATACAATGCAATGAGTCTGCTAGACTTCAAATTATCTTCAGTTGGTAATGATCTCTGGTATTCCAGTTGTAATTAACAATATCTTGAGATATGGTGCAGTTTGTTTGAACAAAAATTCACTGATTTGTTTCCCTGGGTGTTTTGTTCTTGTATAAAATTATACTTATTAATAACCCACATTAAAAAAAATAAAGCCAAACTATTTTGCCATTTACCCCTTAACTCAAAGAAGTGATAAACATGTACCTTCTCCCTATAATATCCATACATTGTCCAGCAAACATGTGATGAAATACTCATACTAATCAGTTAAAAGTTCTTATTTCGATCAAACACCAAATTCTCTTACTAGCTTACAAAGAAATGTATAGCAGTTATAGGGAAGAAGTAAGAACCAGATCTTAAGAGTTAGAGGATTGACAAATTACTATCAGTGTCTGGCTGTAATTTGGTGTGTTTGATTTTCATGAAAAGAAGAAAACTAGTAAACCAAAACATACTGAAAAAACTCTTGGATAGAATACCATATGGATAAAATTGTGTCTTAATAGACTCAAGTATTCCTGACATACCTGCCCACTTGTGGTGAGCAAAATGCTGTCACTCTTGATATCTCGGTGGATGACTCCCTGAGGATGCAGGAAAGCCAGAGCTTTTAACACAGAACGGCACACACAAGATACCTGTTCCTCTGACAGACTGAGGAAAAAAATTAAATAAACATGCTTGTTATAAAAGTTATTTGATAATTTTCATGTATATACAGTTGTGCAGTAACATTGCTACATTTAGCCAACATTTAAGCTTTCAGCAGATGACTGGATTATGCAACTGACATTTATATGCTAGTGTATTCCTGTTTAAATCAATGACAAAATTATTGACACATTTCCACTGAAATCCCAATATTCTGGAATTTAGTATACCAATTCTATCCATGATACCCTGCATTTTGTTTACTCTGACTGTACAATAATGATTGGGGATGGGAGGCATTGTCACAAACCATGATTCATTTTGAAATTTCTAAATAATTCCTAAAAAGTGACTAAATGGATGTTATATGTGTCAACTAATTTTGTCCCAGATTGTTACATACATGTAAAAGTATACTCCTTTTAGCAGAAGACAAGCAAGTATGAAAACATAATGTATCTCTAAATACTAACTGAGTTCAAGGGCTGTAATGTTATGGACCACATGTTTTTTATTCAGATTTAGGGCTCTAGCAATTGAAGCTTGTACACTACATTGTTTTTTCTGTATTTTACTGGTTTTGAATCAAGCTTCAAAACTTCATAATAAATTGAGTTCCTATCTCTAAAAAGGGAAAAGCCAGAGAGGAGCTTATATCCAGGGGGAGGGGGAATGGGCTTTTGATAAAATTTTTTTTTGCTGATAACAAATAGATGGGCCTATAGCCAGGGGGGGTGAGGAGTTGGTTTTATAAATGGAAGGGCGAATTAACAACTGGTTATGGTAGGTATTGATTTATTAAAATCTTCCTTGCCCATGCAGCAAACTTACAATCCTTGTACAAGCATAGCTTTCAGCAATTACCTAATTATCAAAATATACTTCTCCTCACTTTGTATGAGTGATGATATCTGTTAATGATCCTCCCTCGAGAAATTCCATCACCACCCACAGCTCATCTGCCACAAGGTAACTTCCATACATTTCTACAATGTTAGGATGGGGATAATCCCTCATGATCACGACCTAAAAACCAGCATACAAAACATATCTTAGATTGGAATAAACTCAGCATAAACATTGTCTTTTATTGGTAGCCAAGATTTACAATCCTGGACTGGGAAGTGCAAAGCTGGGTTAAGATAACCCAGGATAAGTTTGAAATCTGATTTCAGATCTGAGAACTTCAAAAGAAAATTTAGTCAAATTCTTTGTATTTTTGTTGACAATATGATTATTGGATGCTCTACTAAGAATACAGAAAATTAACATTCTAATCCATTAGCTAAGCTTGGCCACATTATATAAAATTTAGGCCTGCATTTTCTTACTGAAATAAATTGAATTTGAGTTTTCTAACACAAACAAAAACCCTGACATAGGCCAATGAAGAAAAACCCATAAGGGATGTTCACATAACAGTGCTTCCTTAGTACATTAGTCTACAGAATATTGAGGCCTGAATCACCAGGGGAAATTTATCATCATACTCCAATTGCAAACAAAAAGAAAACAATTCAGAACAAATCAAAATTAACTTAGAATAAAATAAAGAATATATTGTTAGGCCTGTTGAGTGAGATGGAGAAATAAAGATGTACAGTAATGATTAACAAGAATCTCCTTGAAAATTTTCTAGAAACACCGGTAAGAAGAATGTTGAACTCAACAATCCTTTAGACTGTTAGCATGAGCTCCAGTGTTGTGGAATACATGATACATTAAACACAAAACTAAATAGAATTCACAGCCATGTTTTTGTATACTCAAAGGCAGTCACCTAAATACTGCATTTTTTCTTTCACTGATAACAAAAGTATATATTTTATTTGCATTGTCAAATCCAATCTTATTAATCCGTTTCCATCGATAAACAATAGGCAAACATTCAAGTAACGGTGTGAACATGAAGCAAAAATTACCTCTGAATTAAAAAAGGAATTTGCGATGCATTTACCAAGTTGTGAGTAAAAATTGTGATAAATACTTCGTAAGAAAACAGAACACGTTTTAAGTAATTGTCTAACATTGAAAATAACCTTTTGGCAAACACTACTGTAATGAATATCCAATTAGGAAGATAACCGTTCATTGATGTGGTTAGTTACCAAAATATTTCAGCACACACTTAGAACGCTATTAAACTAACTGAATTCTTGTGAACCCAGGGGAACGTATCGTAAACCACAAAATCGTTAAGCTGTACCCTCACGCGTAAAAAAAATTCATCAGTGGAAGATCGTTCAATATTTATCACGCAATAATAACATGCAACACTCGAACGATCAGAGATAATAACCTAAGAATTATCATAAGTCAATTTACAAAGAAACTTCGCAATATTTCGACCTCACATCTTAGTTTATAAAAGCAATAAATTTTCGCCAATGACAATAGCCCCTTATGATGTATAACCACTGTAAAACAACTAACTCTGTTAGCTGTTATATACAGTGTAATCCGTGACCACACTTCAGACGACGACATTTGATACAAAACGGACATCGCTTAGAAACTAATCGAATTCCGCATATCGCATTTTTGAGACAGCAATCGATTTTATTTAGAACCGATAGAAATGTGCAATTCCCTAAAAAAATAAAGCTGGATCATTCGCTGTTAAGCTTACGTACCTCATTAAATAGGAGTTCTCTTCGTTGTTGTTTTTTCAAATCCATTTTCTTCACTGCAACTTGGCGTTTTGTTTTGTTATCTCGAGCAAGACAGACAACCCCGGTCGAGCCCTCGCCGATTTTAATAAAATTGTCCAGATACTCCGGAGGACCAGTTGAAGTTACAACTACTTCTAGCGCTTTTCGAAACTGCTCATGACTGACTGGGGAATCAGAGTACATGAGTCTTGTCTTGGAAGAGCTTCGGAGGTCTTCGCCATTGTTTTCTCCAGAGTCTGTGCTCGCCGAGCCATAATCAGAACTTGCTGAAGTCTCTCTTTCTATAGCAGGGATCTTTTGCTGTCGATTGATTTCCCTGCCATTGTGCGAGCGTTCGTAGCCTTGAGAAAATCGACGGTTGTTTTCTTCGGGATGTTCTCGAATATATTCCGCCCGTGGAACTTTCCCGTTAAACGCGCGCGTGGAATTCACGTCTTCGGAAAGTTCTGTACTCGTTCTCTCTCGCCTTCTGGCCGAAGGCCTTGAGCCTTGATTGACTCGGAATGAATTGCGAAGTGAATTTGAGCGAGAAACAGAAATAACTTTCGAGGCAGGACCCTTTGCCTCAGAGTTCAGTAGACTCCACTGAGATTTTCTCAGTGGCGAAACTTGAGTGATTATTTCTGGATCGACAATCGGTTTAGGTCTGTTTTGTGATTCCCTCTGTATTCCAAGCAGTGCTTCCCACTGTGGCGGTAGACCGATAAATTTGCCCGTACTGTTATCATATCCAGTGTGAAATCGATGTTCAAAGTTCTGAGGTTCAGAAATCTCAACCCGCTTACGTTTCTTAAACAAACGCTTGAACATCTTGGCAGGGAGCAATTAAAGCCAGCCGTGGAAAGGTGAACCAGGTTGAATCACGATTTCGCCTTCTTGAACTGGTTGGAAAGAACTATAAGATCAATAAGAATTTACATCCAGGAAGAAATTCGACCTCACAACCCATTACAGCCATGGAATACCTTCCCATGTCCGTTACACTCGGAATCGGAAAATTCGGAAAACGAATATTCGACGGAGTTTAACGATCAATATTTGAGCACGCAGTAGTCCTGTCCAGAAGTATTTTGTAAATTGCAAGGAACCATGCGACCTCGCCGCGTTGAACGAATAGATAGTCGTTGTGGAGAGCACTGAAACCTTCTTTTGATGGAATCTAACATGGAAATTGGCAACGAGATAAGTCAAAAGATTAGGGTGAGTAGCTTCGATAGTAGTGGATTTATTCGGTAGCTGTTAAACTCTCAACAGACGAGGTTTTAGGGTTGGATTGTTTGCCGTTTAAATTAATTAACTACATGCACCCAGTAAGCCGCCATATTTGTTTTTACCTGTCAGCTGAAAAATGCATCACATAACATCCGTCTCGGCCGTTAAATTGTATCTTTGAAGATCAAGTAAGGCACATATCATTAGCGTTCTAGATAAGAGACAGTCAATGATATCTCCATAAAGTTTTCAGGTCAAAGTTTTTTTTTTATCTTAAGGAAGTGTTTTGGAATTTGTTTATTGATGATACTCCATTCATAACTTTTTAGTTAGGAGAGCAACTACACAAAATAGGGCCAGTTTTGAAGGAAGAAACATGCATATCGTTCGATTCTTTTCTTTTGATATGAAGGAACGAGGAATAGTTTATATGCTTGTTAGGGCTTAAGTCTTAAGTCTCGTTTGGCTTGGCAGCAGCCTAACGAGCGGACTTATTTTATAGAAAGTTAAAAGTGACCCTAAATTATGTAGTTTAGCCAAAAAAGGATTAAATACTTAAATGCTAAGAGTTTTATGATTACAAACTTTTCAGAGTGCTGTCAAAACAAAATTACGAGAACTGGGATCTTATGTTGGTAAGTTATACAAATATATTATTTTGAGTGGTATTAACCTTTTAACTCATAGATCAAATTTGTCACTCTCCTTACTGTCAACTGTACAATTCTTATCATGTTAGTTCAGAAAATTTAGTATTTGATCAACTTATTCCCAAATTGATATTTTTCTTTATTCTCATCACCTATCTGGTTGATATTGTACTGATATTGTAAGGAGAAATTCTGTCTTGGTCACTCATGGGAGTTAAAAGGTTAAAAGAAGAGAACTAAATATTAGTTGGTGTGGTTCTGTATCTGCTTTTTGGTGATTCATTGGTATAAATTTTACTGAAAGTCATGTAACAAGGATTTAAAATATTTAAAACTTCATTTGAAGATGAGGAATTGCCAGATTATATTATGGTTATGCTGGCTAACAAGAGGAGTAAAGAACAGATGACAGAGGACCTGGTGTTATTTCTTGGTGCAAATACAAAAGTCTTCACTGAATGGTTAGTAAAAAGATGGAAATTGTATATTATATGATGAGTGAAAACTGCTATATACATAAAAAGTTTTCTAAACTGAGTGTAGGATCTTTTTAAAAATTGCATTCAATTTAGTAAAACTAGCATAAAGTACATGGAGATTCTAAACTGTGCTCTAAGTTTAATTGAAGAGAGCTCAGTGGTCTGAGATTGAGAAATCCAGGCTGTGCCGCATACACTTTTTATAAAATAACCAAGATTCCTTAGTTGTCCAAGTACAAAAGTAAGGGGCCAGTAGGCAGCGCTAGAGCACAACCCTGTGATTACTGTACACAGTCTCCAATTTTAAAAACATGCATGTATATTTGATAGTTTTAAAATAATTCCACGTTGGAATACATTAAGAATAATTTGATTCATGTTTGCCTGTGTTTAAGGAATATGGCAATGCACCTGAATCAATTTGAATACACGTCTGTCTAGTTTAAAACCATATTGATCTGAAATTATTGCTTTTGCTATTGGTAGGCTGGATTTAAAAGAAAAATGTAAAATGTGGCATGCTGACAATAAATATATTGTATAATTATTGTCAAGAAAAAAAAGACATCAGATTATTTTGAGATAGTAATTTCAATGGTGGTGAGATCTGCAGATACAAATTTATGTTTAGTGTTTTTTTTTTTTTTAACTGTTAGGTTTTCTTATTTTATTTCAGTTGTTTTAAAATGCATTAGATCATATCCATATGTATATTGTGCTGTATAAGTGTTAAAATTATTATTATTATAATTATCAATTAAATCATCATGAAAGTGGAACTGCAGGGTGTAATTGTGCTTCTTCACCATTGTATGAGTTTATTTACTAGTTCATAAGTACTTTATTTTTTTGTCAACAGGCTTGTGAACATAATACAAAAAATTCAAGATGTAACAAGTTTACAAGGTAATGCTACATGTAAATAGTGAAGCCTAACTGAACCCTTGATTTAGAAACTCTTTTACAGCTCAGAACTGTGGATAGAAATCCTAGGCTTATTAGACTGGGAAAAATGCTTTACTGATCCTTTCAATTTTTTTATTATTACTTATTTTTGCCAGAAAATACAGAAGAGTTAAATTTATTGGCAAGTGAACCTATTAAATCAGTGAAGACAGAATCTGTCAGGAGCAGAGAAAAGAAAGATGCTAACTCGAAGACTTCAACTAAAGAAAGATGCCGAAGCCCTCACAGAACAGACACAAGAGAGGAGCATCAAAGACACTCTTCAAAGTCTTCTGAAAAGATAGAAAGTTTGTACCATCATGATACTTTACTGTGAAGGACAAAAAAATGTAGTTGAGGATTAGAAATCCAATAATTGATCGATCCATCAATCAATTGATAGAGACATTTTTTTGCACCTATCAGTGATAATGATAACAATAATTCAAACCTGGTAGAGCTACTTGGTAACTTAGCCCCTGAATATACTTATAACACAAGGGTAACAATTATACCATGTACCACTATTCTCTACAATAACAAGCCTACCCACTGTACCCCCATTTGTAAACCTTAGAATCCAAAATCCTTGAAATTTCTTTCCTTGGTTTTTTGAGAATGTTAATTGTAGTGATTTCTTTTTCCTTGAAATGTAGTAGTACTTTGGCCATAGCAAAAACAAAGAGAAGAATGAAACATTTTTAGCTCGTGATGAATATGCATTGAACTTTTTAAAACATTTTATAACCCACTCATAAATTTTCCTGCATTTCTATTGGATACTTTACATCACAGTACATGGTGGAAAATCACCAGAGAGTTATTACACCATAACCTCTTGCTAGATCGATATTTGTCCTCTGATTATTTCAGAAGAAGCAAAGCCAGTGGAAAAAACCAGCTGAAGTGATTAACTTTTTCATCTTTATGACTTTATGTGGAAGAAAAACAAACTTGTTTTGTGGATTCTAGTCATAGAGATGATATCAAATGCTGCACTGGAAAGGAAAAAAGGCAACAAAATTTGCTATCATTGCACAATGCAAAAATTAAGGGGAGGGTACAAAGTATAAAAACCCTCTTCTGGCCTGCTGGTATGTCAGCTGATAATGTCCTCACTTGAGAGATTGTCCTTAAAATTTCACATTTTACCCTGGAAGTTTTGCATCTCCTCCAAACATTCAATTCTTGAACAATATCTAAGTGGCTGTTGTTGTCAGTGGACATACCTGTTGCTAAAGGGGTTTATGACTGCTTATGACTGAACAAGGATTTTGGAGTAACTTTTTTATTTGCCTCAGTCTTTGGAAGCTTTCCAAAACCAGTCAGACACACAGCAGACAAATGATGAAATCTTGCTAGGCTCATATTCCTTATCTGTATCTTTGCTCTTTTACCTTGAATTTAAGTTCAAAACATGAAGTCCCAGGACAAACTTATAATTTAGTATAATTATTACAATCAGAACTATGCACTTTTAACTATTGCAAATTTTGAAACAAAAATTTAACTTTCTTAGTTTACAGGCATACAACAAGTAAAAAAGCTAACTATGCACCTGGTTTCTGTGATGCATTCTGTTTAACTTCTTTGTGCTAATTTTCTCTTTTAGAGCAAAGGATAAGCACCAATGTTGTGAAGACTGTTGGTCTGTCATCAAGGGACACAGTACGAAAACGAAAGCACTCATCATCTGATGAAGAAGACTCTAGAGCCTCTAATCTACACAGTGTTGTGAAAGTCAAGGAACGAAAGTATGTTTTAAATGATCTCTAACAATACAATGTGTGCACATGAAACTCAATAATGCATGCAGCAACACTTAACTTTTGCAGTTGAGTGATGTCAGTGATTTAGATCGTATTTGAGGTCAGAGGGAAATATCTGTAACGGTTATTTTGAACATTTCCTTGATATAAAAACAATGTACATGTACAGTTGACCTTGGAATGAGTGGTGCCAAAATAGGAGGTCACCCTGTTTTAATCCTTTACACCCTAACATCAGTATGCATATTCTCCATACAATTCTGCATACATTTCTTAAAGTGCTGACAAGGAGAAGTTGTTAAACAATGATGGGTTTCTTAAGCGGGTGATTATTTTCATTATTCTCATGACCATAATGTTTGATTCAGGGCTGATATTGTAAGGAGAAATTAGATACTAATCATACTTAGGGGTTAAAGGGTTGAGCGTGGGGTTTTCAGAGTCCAAGAATTTTTTTCCTTAAAGAACTGCTATATTCACCTTAAGTAAGCGGTCATCTCTGTGTAGCAATCATGGTATTACAATTATGGCATAAAGTGGCATTTTTCGTTGTTCTTTTTTTAATATTCCCTTTCTGTGGAACCTGTGTTAATCAGTCAACTTCCTTTATCCAACGGGTGACTACTTAATCCTCTAACTCCCAGATCAAATTTGTAATTCTCCTTACTGTCAACTATACAATTCTTGTAATGTTAGTTCTGAGAATTTAGTATTGGATCAACTAATTATACCTGGATTGATATTTTTCTTTTTTCTTGTCACTTATCTGGTTGATATTGTATTGATATTGTTAGGAGAAATTCTGTCTTGGTCACTCATGGGAGTTAAAGGGTTAAAGGGTTAGGTTCAACTGAATGATCTTGGAAATGGTTCTCCTTACCTTCTCTACAAAGTGTAAATCATTCATGAACACGTTATTGCATGCTTCAACTTGTACATGTTGTGGTTCAATTTTATCCCTG